TAGTTTAAGCACTTTATTATGCATTTTTTAGAGAATCAGCTCCAAATCTTAATAATTTATTAGCTACTTTATTTGTGATCTCATTAGTCATTTATTTATAAGGGTTCAGAGTTGAAGTTCCATTAGCCAGTTAAAAAATTAGAGGATTAGTATCATCACATGGAATTAAATTATTTTACACTTCAAATATTCCTATGATTATTCAGAGTACTCTTGTTTAAAATGTTTATTTCTTATCATAATTACTTTATAGAAGATTTAAAACTAATTTCTTTGTTAAATTATTAGGTACATGGTAAGAGGCAGAATTTGGAGGTTAATCTGTACCTATTGGAGGTTTAGCTTATTATATGTCACCATTAAGAGATGTTAAAGATATTATTAATGATCCTATTCATGCTATTGTTTATGTTTTATTTGTTGTTTTTATGTGTGGATTCTTTGCTAAATTTTGGATTCAAATTTCAGGTGAAAGTGCAAAAGATGTTGCTAGAAAATTCAAAGATGAATAAGTATCTATTATATTTTTATTCTAGATTAAAATTAAAGGTTTAAGAGAAGAATCTATGGTTAAATATTTATCTGGTTATATTCCAGTTGCAGCTTTTTGTGGAGGAGTTTGTATAGGATTATTGACTATTGTTGCTGATATTTTAGGAGCTATTGGATCAGGTAATATTTTTTATAATATTTTTCTAAGGAACTGGAATCTTGCTGGCCGTTACAATTATTTATGGATATTTTGAAACTTTTCATAAGGAAAAATATGATAATCAATCCATATTTTGATCAATGCCATTTTATCTATATATATGTATAATAATAAACACATAGTATTTTATTTTAATATCGCTATTTATATAATCATTTATTAATTAATAATTATACACAATTATTAGTCTTTATTATATATGATTCATTCACATTTATTTATAGATTCTAAAATGTTCAAAAAATATATTTATGTTATAAATATGTCAAAAATTCAGATTTCTCGAATCAGTGTTATTTATACATGATTACTTACTGATTAATTATTATTATATAAATAATAAATGCTTCTATGTAAATTTCATATCATTTGCATTTTATAATATGGATTTATTAATATTCCATTTTGTTTATTTCTATCATTATTTTAGTTATTCTGAAACTCAAACAAATTTAATGAAAAACTGACATGAAATTTGAAAATATTTTAGGTTTGTATAACACAAATTAATTTAAATCAATATTATCATAGCTTTATTTAAATTAGTTATTGTTCTATTACACAATAGAAGTCTGACTTTAAAAAAGTTAATTTTGAATGATAAGTTGTGTGTGTGTTATAATTTTATATTATTTATATTTCCAAATATGAAATGGGAATACTTTAAGTAATATCAAGGATTGATAATTCAAACCAACTTGTCTCCTACTATAAATAATTTCAGCTATGCGAAATTGCAAATTGCAGTATATTTTCTGTAATTGTCATATTTTTTAATTGATGATTCAAATGAGCAGGTTTTTAGCCTAATAAAATCATTCACAAAAATATGCTTAATTTCTCCATACTTTATGAATAATGACGCTGTTAACATTTTAATAGGTATAGCTATAACCTTACTTAATTGTTTTCCTTATATCATAATAACTTATCGTTTCATAATGAAAAGTCATAATAGCGTAGACAGTATCTCAAAGAGTGTTTTAGATGTATTCATTTATTATCCTATTTTAGTTAACTACAATATTAATAAATAACTATTTTCTAAACTTCACTTGGTTATTTTATGTATCGCAACTTTACTATATTTGCTGGAACTTATTAAATGCAACTGACCCATTCTTATTGCTGTTATCAGTTTTTAATTTATTGATTGCAATGGGTAGTTTATTATTTTCAAATATCTATTTTTTAAATTATGAATTCTTTTAGTAAAGCTTACGAAAATACTTTAATTACAATAATATAATAGCTTAATTGATTTTAATTCCTTTAGTTTTTATATCCATTAGAACATAGTTTATTTTTGTTTTACTTTCAAAAATAATCTTTGGATTGTTCATTTGTATGTTAATTGGAGAAGCAATCATCTAATATCCTTTCGGGTATTTATATAATTCTAATCATAATAGATTTTCAGCTTATGCTAAAATATATAATTAAGGATTAACAATATTTACAGTTGTATATACGATAACCACTATTTCAAAAGCATTTTCAATTACTTCATATTAATGCATTGTTATATTTTTAATTTTACTACCTGTTTCCTAACATTTAACAAGTGCTTTAGTAGAAATGAAGAGATAAAATGTTTATTAGACAATATCTAAATAAAATCAATATTTTGAATTGTTATACATAGAAAATATGTTTGAATTGAATAATGAAGCTTAGAAATGTAAGTAGAAAGAAATAGAATACATAACTAAATTTTGTATGCATTACTCTCATTGCAGACTCAATAAATGTTAATGTAAGAAAATTGGATTTGAAAAAATTATTAAACTTGACCAAACTGTAATTTTTGTTTCATGCTTGTTTAAAAGAAGTTTTGATAAACACAAGATTACTTTATAAAAAAGAATTGGAGTAATTGAAGTTTTATCTTTGAAATTCTTAACTTTCATAAATAAATTTAAAAGAAATGGACCTAAAACTTATTAAGAACTAAAAGTACTTTTTTAAAAATAAAGAGAATATTCATTCTATTTTATTTAAATGTGTTTATTTTTATAATTCATAATATAAGCATAAATGTAAAAAGATGAAGATTATAACATAAATTCTGAATCACGAAGCAGAATTTCAAATGTTAAGTTGTAGGTGAGTAAAAGTGAAAGAAGTATTGTATAGAATCTCTATTAAATGGAATAAGTTAAATAAAATATGCTTCCATTATTAATTTAAGTAATAAATATTGAATAATAATAGATTTGTCAATTTAAATCTGGGTTTTGGAAATAGATTTAAGAGGGAAAGATAGCAACATTTATAGAAATAGAAAAATAATTACAGTAACTTTAAATATTACAATCATAAATAACTTAAGAATATAACAAGTATAGATCAATATTTTTTGTTAATGGAAGAACATATAATGTTTAATTCTTAAAATTTGATGCTTTGATATAATTAATTTTATATAATAATGCAAGAGCATATTATGAGATGGAAAAAGGTAAAAATTTTATAAAACCTATTTAGATTGTAAGGAAATATTGGCATATGAAAGGAGTATGAGTACTTTTGAAATTACAAATATCAATTTTTTTAAAGGAGATGCTATATCAGTTAAGGTTTGTATAGCATTTGGTCCAAATATAGGAAAAGTTAGGAATAAGGTCATTTCACCTTTGATTCCTAGATTTTTTGGATTTCCAGATATGGCCTCTTTTATAGATTATACAAAAGGAAATATTAATCCTTTGATGCCTAATTGGCTTTTGGGAGTGCATGATGAAATGATGTAAAATTATATAAGAAGAGGATCAACATAAAGAATCGGAAAATATTTTTAAACATTTGCAAAATTATGTGATTAAACATTAATTAGATGTTAAGTTTATTTAGCTCATAATTTCAGTCCAGATTTAGAAGCAGATTTTTCTATGATTGGATGTTTAAAAAGATTAGAACAAGATGAAATAGATATTAAGGATGATTCTAAAAGATTGCGAAATTTAATATTTAAAGGATAGTAACATGTGCTATTTGATATTTATGGAAATTTGATGGGAATTACTTAAGGGTTGTATAAAATGATAGATCGTATGCAAAGAAAGCTTAAAGATAATATTAAATAAGATGAAGCAAAAGAGAAATCATCAGAGAATGATGATTCTTCTGCAGATTCAGATTCTGAAGTGTATTTATAAACATAATTAATATTAGTTTTGATGTCTATGAAATTAAATGGTCAAATTAACCTATAACGATAGAAGACTTTTATATAAAAGTTTTAATTTGGATGTTGTTTCCTTTTATAACTGCTGAAATTGAATAAACAGGAATTGAATTTCTGATGAATGGTTAAAATCCTCCAAAAGGTAAATATCCAAATCAAATTGATCTTGAAAGTAGTAACACTGTAGTTTCTAATAAGGAAACATATATGTTTGTTCCTGAAGATATCAATTTATTTGTTCAATAATATAACAAAGTATTGGGGAAAATAAATGAAGATGAGAAAATTTAGACTTCTAATTTCTCTCTTAGCGGAAAAAGATAATAATATATAGAAGCAGAAACTTTAAGTGCTAAATAATAAGTTACAGTATTTAATGAAAAGTTATGTTCCTTTTTTTTTGAAGAATTTCTTAGAAAACATTAATAAATGGTTTTAGGCAATTTCTCAAGGTAAGAGATGAGAGTTTCTAATCTTAATTAAATGTCGACTAACATCTAACATTCTGATAAAGTAGATTCATCTTCTGAAAGTGAAGGACAATTAAAAACTAGAGCTGAATAAATGTATTATGATAAATTTTAGAATTATATTTAAAGGATTACTACTTAAGATTTTAATCCGATTCCTGTTATCTATTCTATTAATTATGAAGAATTTAGGTATAAAAAAAATGAAATAGAAAATAAAGTTTAAATGTTTGTTATTGAATTAACAGTTAATGAATAACAATTGGCAAGTATGGAAAAAGGATATCGTAAATAATTAAGAGATACATTAAAGTAAATGTAGGCTTAAATGAAATAGGAGAAAAGTGGAAATTTAAATAGAGGATCTACTAATGTAAAATAATCTTAAGTTTAAACACAATTTGAAATGAGATCTGAAGATTCTATGAGTCTCTAAGGTAATTTCAGTGAAAAAGTAGAACAAGATGATCAAATATCTCTATATCAATTTTTAAGTCATCCATCTAAATTAGAAGAATAATGTTTAAGTGAACAAAATATTCTCACTGATCAATGTATTATTACTTCTGCTAAAGATGAATAAAATAAGTTATTACTAACTAATAGAAAAAGTCTCTAATTATTAGAATATGGTATCTAAAGTGCTAAAAGTAATGGAACTGAAAATCAATTTGAATCTCATTTTAAATAACATTAATTTGATCTTCTTAAAGCATCAGAAAAAGAAGCTGCAAATAAAGTTGTTTTAAGATTATCATAAAAAACTAAATAATAAAAATTTTTTAATGAATTAGAACAAAAAGTTATTTAAAGCAATCACGATAAAGAGAGAGAAAAAGTTGAAAATGAGGACTCTTACCTTATTCAACTTATAAATTTTGATGAAAATTATAAAGCCATCAATTAAAAAATTAGCGAATTTTAATATCCTAATTCGTATAAATTTTAAAATTATATTCTATTTGCTACTATACTCTTAGTCATAGCTTATATTTTATTAGTTTCAATTGCTGTTTGGAATTAATATGATTATAGAGACTGCATGAATTTGATATAAATATTACTTAAATTTCAAAAAACTTATTCTCTTATCACACATGGATTATTTCGTATTTAATATTCACATGATTTTAATGTTTCAAATTTTGATTAATTACACATATTCTATGATAAATAAATATTTTCAGAAGTTGATTAATTGATTAATTTTAGTAATACAGAAAAAAATAGAATCAATGAAATATAAATATCCCTTTAAATATTTTATGATATTGACAATAGTACTAAAACAGATTTATCAATAACAGAAACTATTTAAAAATCCTTAGCACAGTTTTATAAAATTGTTGAAAATAAATTTGCTGCTGAATATGAATTACAAACTCAACTTATTTAGTCAAGTGTAGCAAATTTAAAAGAAATTGGTTAACTTCCCTAATTGGCTTTTGATTCATGCTATGAAAATAAAATTGATAAAGAAAGATATTATTAATAGTTATTAATAATATTTATGGTAATTATATTTCTATTAGTGTTAATTTTATAATCTTCATAGATTCCCATGATTTCAACTTTAGGGAAATATAAAAAAAAATTGTATATGGCATTATTAGATATTAATTAACTTTAATTTGCACAAGAATAAGAATCATTTGAAGCACTTGCAGCTACTCTTAAAAAATCAGTTTATGATTGGATGATGATTGATTTTATTGTTGAAGGTAAAATATTTGATTTAGAAAAATTTATTTTAAATGGACTTTATTCTGAAAACCCTTCTACTAATTATATAGATAATTAAAATAGAACAAAATAAGAAAAAAATAAATTAATCAAAAAATTAAAATCTTCTAATATTTAATAAATTAGATACATTGTTTTATTAATTATTGACTTAGTAGTCATAATGTCATATTTCTTAGTGATATTTTTAATAATCTTTATTTTGACTGATTAATTATTATAAGGATTGTAATTACTCTTTAAATATTAAACTTTATAATCATCATTTATTAATGTTTTAAATAATGCTGATCTAGTTGCATACAAAACTTTAACTAATTCATCCTTATATTATAATATTCTCTCTCAAAAAGAATTTGAGAATTACACTACTGTTCTATAAGGAACTGAGTAAGATTTCTTTCTTCAGTATGATAATAATATCATTGGTTCATTAACAGATGAAAAAATTAACTTTAAAATAGAATTTATGAATGAATAATCAATATGTGATACTTAGAATGCCTTAGATTGTCAATCAACTTTAGTTGGAATATATAACCAATAAATTTTGGCATTCTATTAGCAAGGGTTAAAATCATTAATTGTTTAAGTTTACAAAATTATACAACAGTATCCATAATTTTATTAAGGAGATTATGCCAATAATAGTTTAGAAGATTTTGTTAATTTTGTAGAAACCTCTGAACATATTGCTTATTTAGATTATGGAACCGATCTTATTATTACAGCCTATTCTTCAATAGTTGATATGGCATAATAACAATTTGAAATTTAAATATCAAAATATCAGCAAACTTTAATTATTTTTATATTAAGTATAGGATTCATAGGACTTATTATTAAGGGCTTTTTGGGAAGAATGTTAATGAGAATGTAGAAATAATCAATTGATACTTGTCAAGCATCATTATTATTATTATCACCAAGGAGGTACACATAAAAATCTATTGCTAAATTAATAACATAAATAATTTGATTTTTCTTATTATAAAATATTTTTAAAGCAACTTAAATAAATTCAAAAATCAAAATTATAATTTATTAAAAGGTCTTCTTATTTAATCCTTACAATATTAAGATGCACCAGATTTTGTTTATTCATATAAAATGGGCATGATTTCCTAAAAGTCATTTTACAAGGGAACTTTAAAAAAATTAATTATTTAAATATTCTATTATTATTTAGTCACAAAAGCTAAAATTTATCCTTTTCTTTCATTTTTTCTGATTTATTTTTATTTCCTCATATTTTAAAAAAAATCATTAAATTTTTATCTTCCATAAATATTAACAAAATTTTTACTGATAAATTAAAAATACATAATATATTTTGAATTTTGATGCCAAATTTCAAATTGTTATTAAATTTTAAGATCTTTATTTATTATGAATTGTTAACAATTAAAATCATAATGTTTTTCAAAAATTTACTTTAAAAACTATCTATAAACTCTATATCTAAGTATAAAGTTATAAATAGACTCTTTTATTAATTATAGTTATCTAGTAGTATGATGTATTTTTTATTTAAAATTCCATAATAAGGATCTTTAATGAAATATAGGTTAAATGATATTAATATTTTAGATTCTAACTTTCTTTTTTATCTATTTAGCAAACATTTATAGGCAACTTAAATTATATAATTATATTTTACAATTTAACATCTAGATGGACTCTTCCAAATATATTATGGCCTTTCATTTTGCATATATTTTTTTTAGCTCTATAATAGATTGTTTTCATTTTAATTTATATAATTTAAACATGAAGAATAATTTTATGTTAATGTTTGAGCTTTTCATGTATTACACTAATCAATTATAAATATGAAATTAATCTTAACATTTCAAATTAGATCTCTGATTTTAAATAACCATTTTAATCCATATCTTTTTATTATTTTAATTTCTTCATTAGAAGAGTAATTTCTTTTGAGAAATAATTAATTTGTCTTTAACCTTAAGCATTGATTTCTATTTGTTTTTTCTTATTCAAAACTTCATGAAATTTTTTTTACTGTAAAGTTTTGTATAATTATTTCTAAGATTTGTAACATTCATCATTCTAGATTGTTACATTTAAGATATTTTCCTAAACTAAATTTCTTCCTTTTGATAATTGAAGCATTTGCTTTTTCCTTTTTTACACAATTTATGATGCAGTTAAGTCACATATAATTACATCTGATTTGATTTGTTATTTAGGAATAGGGCTTTTAGAAATAGTTTAAATTCCCATAGTAGATCCAAAGTTTAATTAAATCTTGATGGTAGTGTCTAAATCACAAACTAAGGAAATAAAGATAAAATTTTATCTAAATAATTTATAGTCTTTGCTTTTATATTTCCAAGTTTTGACTTAGAAAATTTATTCACAAGAGAATTTAGATGGGAATGGATTGGTTGTAGATAAAAATATCTTAAATTTAGTTGATTCAGTTTAGGTCATTGTAAAAGTTAAAGGTACTGCTTCACCTTAACATCTAATTTTATAATAATAAAATTCCAATTATCTTAATTTTTATACATTTGTAACATCTTATTTAAGTTCAATAGGATGCTAGAATGATAATATATAGTTTTTACATTTTCAAATTTATAATCAATCCAAACTTCACCATCATTCAAATTTTGCTATTATTTTTGAGCCTCTTAATTTGCTAGTTAGATTTTATAGGCTTTGCTTCTGAGAATAAATTATATCTATAATACTCAATTACTGAAATTGTGTTGATATTTTTTTCATAATCTGGCATCATGATCTAAGTGATATATGAAAATTATTAGAAAGCCTTATAATTTTTTTATGGATCAACATAATTTGTAGTTGCTCTTCTATGTGTTTGTTATAAATCACCTTCTGATTCTTAAGACTATACAGAAAGTGATTTTTCTCTTTAATTAGATATATGAAAAGTAGCAGCATGACTTTATCTATACAAATCTCTATAAAATTGAATTTAATAATTACACTGAATTATGAATTGAAGTAGATAATCTTTAACCATTATTATTCTTATCATAATTCTATATTTGAGCATCTTGCAGGTAGGTTCTTTTTCGCAACCTATTCTAAATTTTATTCATTATTTATTTATTATAAATATTGAATCTATCTAAGCTCTTTCTCTTTTTTAATTTTTAATATCAATTTCTGTAAGATTTATAATCCTTTATTTAAGATATCCTTTAATTTCTAGAAAAATAAGTTGTTTAATTGTTTTTTTAATACTTTTTAATCATAAGTCACCTATTCGTTAATTATAATAAAAAATGAATTCAGGCCCAATTAATTATACAAGAACAATGAAACCAGTTGTTCCAACTTATTATCCATCAGAAATTCGTTAGCAATCTGTTGGTAAGGAAAATCGAGCACCTATCAAACATAACTCATGTAGTTAAATTAGATTTGTTAATGTAAATAAATAAAATTATCTAATTAGAATTTACCTTCAGCAAAAACATAGGACAGCTTTGAATCATAAAAGCCTTAAGAATAACTCTTTGATAAATTAAAATTATAAGTAATCTAATTGTAATATGAATAAAATACTTTAAACGAACAATTTCAAATTTAAATTAAATCACTAAATGATCGAATGAATTCTAATGAATAAAGTGTTAAATCATTGTATGATTCTGGAATCGGATAATTAAATAATGATGTTCAATTAAAAGACAAAATTAAGCAATTAGAATTGAAAATAGGAGAAATTTAATTATTACTCATTAATTAAGAATAGAAAGTATTATCATGGACCTAATCTACAATGGAAAAACTCAAAAAAAATATTCTTGAAGCTACGAATAAAACAGAAATTAAAATTTAAACCTAATTAGATAAAATTACGCAAAATATAAAAAATTTACAATTATCTTAAAATTCTACAACTTAAACAAATTGTATTAGTTAAGATTTGAAAAGATTTTAATAATTCAATGAGGAAGTTTCATCTTATCTAAGTTAAACTGTAACTTCAAATAGTATTAATATTATTGAATAAATGGTTGCTGATATTAAACCAGATATGACTCCAATTAATACTGCAAGTCCATTAAAATAAGAAATTACTAATAAATGTAAATAATATAAATATTATCAAAGATAAATGTTAGATGTCTGCTATTTCAGAAAAGACCCTTGATGATTCTAGGAGTGATTATTAATAGATTCAATAATATGAATTGGATGGAAATGGATATTTAATATCAAATGGTTGTTATGTCTTAGATTAAAATGGAAAGAGATATTAATTAAGTTAAGAACAAATCAATTATTTAAAATCTATTAATGTTATTGAAGAAATAAATTCATGAAAATACTTATTAAAACTTTATGATAATTTTATTTATTTAAATATTAATTGTAATATTTATCGAAGTAATCAATAAACTAAGTCAATACCTAAATTTAATTCACAAGTAACATGTCCTATTTACAAACAATTTAAACATTAGATTTAATCATAGTTTTTTATAGAGGATAATATAGGTCTGTAATTTACTTATATTTTAGTTCTACATTCTGCTTTCCTATGTCCTTTTAGATGACATTTAAAGCAAGCCAATTATTTACAATGATGTGAATAATGATCATCTTTTAAACAAAAGATACAGAATTCTTGATTTTAAGAAATGCACTATTTTTATACATGTCCTGTTTTCTTACATAGATAACAAAAACTAAATAAATCTCCTTAAAAATATCTTGTTTAAGTATTTAGAAGTAAAGACTTTGCAATGCTAAACTTAAATTGATCATTCTCATCATCTTAAATTTTTTCATTCTTTATTGATAATCTTTCTAGCTTTTAAATTAGGTATTCATCACAAACTTTTTCCACTTTATGATTTTTTTCATATATTATAAGCTGCTGATCACTTGATAAAGATCTGAAATGTGGTAACCTTTTACTTCCTATTAATACGTAAGGTGGTATTTCTTCTTTCATTTTTACTAAACAATTTAGTTTAATTAATTTTATTATTTTTCAAAAATAATATTTTTAATTTTTTTTTTCATCAACAAAGGCAAAATGTTCAAATATATATATAAACTTATCATAGGAAATATTGAAATGATAATTTAAAAATGATTCGAATATTTAAAAAATCTTTTTATAAACAAAATCTATTTAAATTTTGTATCTTTATAAAATAAAATTTATGAGATTTGGTAAAATAAAAAATACATAAATTAATAAATGAAAAGAACAATCAAGAATTGTGAAAATTATGCCGAAATTGATGATTCTAGTAATTAGGAGTAATTTGCCAAATTCGAAGCTGGAATGTTATTTTAAGCTGCTTAAAATCCAGAAAAAATTTTTAAAAAAGCTGTCAGATAGGGATGTGAAGAGGTTGCGTAAGATTTTATAAAAAAAGAGTTTTTCAATCAAGATAAGAATTAGGTTAAGTTTATACTATTATACATTTTTAGACTGAAAAAAAAATAGAAAATAAAAAAAACTCTGATTAAGAGAGAGAGAATTAGGAGTTTGCAAACTTTCTTTCAAATACTTATCATGAATATTTGACGAAAAAATCAAATCATTCAAATGATTACAATCATTAAGATCATTCAAGCTCTTTTTGGGATCATGTAAGCCATCTATTTTGATTTTAATTATCTTTTTATAAGAAAAATAAAATTCCCTTCTAAAAAATTATAAATAGATTAAACTATTTAGATCATGAAAAATTAACATTCATATTCAAAAATTAATGGGAATGATTCTAAAATATTATATTAGCAAAAAATTTATATGAAAATAATAAAGTATTTTTATTATAGTAAATATTAATTAATTTTTTAAAAGAACAAATATGTTTCAAGCTCAGATTAATTTAAAATCCTTTAAAGAATAGCATAGTTTAGAGGAGAGACAGATAAAATGTTAATAAAAATTAACTCAACATCCTGATATGATTCCTGTAATTTTGGAGAAACATCCTAGATCAAAAATGCCACAATTAAACAAATCATTGTATAAGAATTGTTTATCATTTTGATATTTAGTTACAAAAGGCTTTCGTATGATTTAGTTCAGAGATACACTAAAAAACACTTTATAAATATCTTCAAAACAATCATTATATTTTCATATTGGTAATCAGCTACTTCCTGAAGGTTTATTAAAAATCTATTAATAGATGTTAAATTGAATGATATTTATGAAAAGAAAAAAGATCCAGAGGATGGTTTTTTATACATCACTTATTCAGACTTAGAAGTTTTCGGTTGATAATTTTATGTATTTAATATAAATCCCTGATATTCATCTACAAATTAATTTAATTAATTTTTCATAATAAATACTTGATTTTCAAATTAATCTCTTTTCTATCATTAATTAAGCAAATTAAAAGATTTAGAAATTACAGATTTAATGTTTAACAAGTATGTTTAAGAAAAATTTTCTACATATATAACAATAAATTTAGTGAAGAAATTCTCGAAATTTTAGTCTATATAAAATAAACTATTTTATAATAACTATTGAAGATATAGAATTATAAAAATCATTTATAGTAAAATATATATTGTAAAAACATTAAAAATGATTATACTATGTTGTTTGTATATGATATTTTAAAAAATGGCTCAAATTGACAAGTTAGGTACTTTAATAAATAGTTTATTGCTTAATTTATATAAAATAAATTATATTTTGAATATACAATGTATAATTTATTTTTGTTTGTTGAATAGAGAAATAATAATAATATTATTTTTCAATTAAAATGGTAATAGATAATAATACTTTAAAAATTTTACTATAACTAGAAGCTAGATTTCACGAGAAACTTTATAATTTAGATCATGTAAATCAAATGTTAGAAATTTACTCAGATTTTGTGTAAATATTTGATACATAGAGGTGTGCATTAAGAGAGTATTTCCTAGAAAAAATATAATTTTTGATTAGCAGACCTGAAACAATTTTGTTATTAAAGAAACAAAATGCTCTAGCTTCACCTGAATAAAGTTAAAAAGTTTAGGGTAGAATGAGATTTAGTGTTTATAAAAGAACCTAAGTTAATGAAATGAAGATTTAATAAGAATTATAGAACAATGAACAAAATTAAACATAAAATATGAATGAATTACTTTAGGAGTATGATAAAGTATAATAGAATATAGAGAAATAAATTATTGAGTCTTTGAATAATCAGGATGAACTCTTAGAAAAAAGAAAGATGAATAGAAAATTGAGAACTTAAGTAATGATAAAATCAACTTCTACAGATAATATTTATTAAAAATAGATATAAAATGAAAACGATAATATTGAAAAGATAATATTAGCTAATGAAGGATCTTCAAACAATTATAAAACAGATGTTATATTAAATGAAGAAGATTAGGAAAAATGATTATAGAATATATGCAGTCAATTATTTAAATAAAATTAATTTTTAATAATTTTGTGTATAAATGATGATCAAATGATCAAAAATAATATTTTAAATTTATATTGCTTAAATTGTTTATTTGAATTAAGATAATAACTTGGATAATCTTATTTCACAAAATTTGAATCATTAATAAAATTCAAAGATTTTATGAATCTGAATCTCAATTTACTAATATGTTTAGATCTGAATATAACTATGATTCAATTTCTGTTTATTTAATCCCCAATATAAGATTGAAGAGTGTTTTGTTACTTTCAATACCTTTAATTAGATTTATAATAAATATACAGAATTCCATTTCTCAACTTTCATTCATTAAGTCTCATTACTCGACTAATTTTATGAACTAAGAATAAATGAGGATGTTATTCTCTTTATCTCCATTTCTATAAAAACATTTATATTTCTTTAGGTAAACCATTAAACTCTACTTTTGCTTGACTATGCCAATCATTTTGAACACATTTACTACATTTTATTATATATTTTAACAAGCTAAAATCGAGAATATAACTGAATTGCTTTATTTGAATTTTGATGATTTTAAAACAATTATTCATATTCATCTTTAAATTGTTTTAGCCAAAAAAAAGTCCCATTATTTATATTAATACTTATAAAGATATATAGTAGTTTTCATAATTGATAATCAAACAAATTCAAATTTCAATTATCTCTTTATAAATCTAGACTTTAATTTCTAGACTTAAAAGTCTTTTATCAATCTTAAATTTATTAGAAACATGATCAAATATTATTAATTTAATTTAAATTAATGGGTAATGCTATTTCAAATGGCAAATTGATATCTCCAATAACTATTGATGTTTAGTTAAAAGAATCACAATTAACTCTTAGGTTTCTGTTAGATTAAAAAAAATTACTAGCACTATAAAATACTCTTCCAATAGATTTTGATCAATAGTTAATTTAATTAATCAATGAATTGAAGGTAGAACCAAAACTTTATCAGTAATTTTAAAATGCTCCTTAAAGTAATAAGAAATCATTTATATAGATTTAAAATACTTAATACTAAATGAATATTAAAATATTATAGGAAAGAATTTATTATAAAATATACCAAGTAATGATGTTAATTATTTCAGTTAAAAATTAACAAACCCTACTCTCTAAGATTTAGAATAACTGCGAAGATATCTAAAACATTTGTAAATTCATGATTAATAAAATTAATTGTTGTAGTTTAATAATGTAATAAATTTGCTTATTGAAAATTTATTGAGATTTTATAAACAAACCCAGTAGACAATAGAAAAAAAGAAACCTCCTTGTTATTTATATTAAATTGAAATCTTAAACATTTTAGAAATCTTAGTAAAATTTGAAAAAATCTAATAATAATTATTGCATATCCCAGATTCAATCCATATTATTTTAAAAAACTTGCATCCATATCATATTGAATTGACAACAACAGTATTAGAAATTGTATCTCATCTATGTTGGCATACTAATGAAGGATATAATTTGATAGTAAAAAGCTTAAATAAATTATTTGAAAACAACGAAATTATATTTTTAATGAACATTTTAAAAAAAAGTAAGAATGTTGTAATGATTGCAATTATGTGTTAATTTATAATAACTCTTACTGAATCTTCTACATAAGAAGAATAGAGAAAAAGAATGAGTCAATAATTTATAACTTAAGGAATTACAGATGTATATAAAATTATCACAAATAAAATAGAAGAATTTGAATACAAAGCAGATGAATTAAGGTTTGAAATCGTCTTATAATAAATAATTGATCATAATAAATAGATACATTAAATTCAAACAGATCCTAATTATATTGAAGAAATTAAATTGCCTATGCTCTATTAAAGAGAATCTAGAAAATACTTTGATGTTACAGAATTTTCTAATTCAATTTAAATTATTGAAGGCTAAATAGATGCATTTTTAGAGAATAATAAAGATATTTCTCTTTAATAACAACAACAAAAACCAAAAAAATAAGAAAAACCTACTTTTCTCACTCCTTTATATTTAAATTTAATCGAAGAAGAGATGGGATAATCTAATTTAACTGAATTTGTAGTTGGTTAATCTAAATAAATTAATAAATTTAATAGGCCTATTAAAAAAGAAAATGATATACAAGACAATTTTTAATTTGAAATAATGAAATCTTAAATTGAAGGTTTCAGTGAAAAAAATGTTTTAGAAAATTAAATTAAAGACTATAATAATTAAAAAATATCAAATGAAGCATTTGTTGATATTTTGTAAAGAAAAATAGATGATTTAGAAAAAAAATTAAAATAAGATTAATCTAATTATTCTTAGTTATATGAATAGTTAGCTTCCAAAAATAAAGACTACAGAGCTCTTTAATAAGAAAATTAATCTCAATAGAAGATAATTCAATAATTAGAAAATGAACTCAATCAATTAAAAGAAAAATTGTCAATTATGTAATTGGCTAAAGCTTAAAAGATGGAATTAGGAATCCATTCTTAAAGATCGTCTTAAAAATTAGATGATAATGAAGAAATCAAATAATAATTAGAGTAATTTAAATAAGGTTTTCATTAGTAAAATTAAAAATTAATTAACTAAGAAAATGAAATTAAAAGTAAGGTTATAGGTATTAACATTAGAATTTTAATAATTATAAAAAGAATAGAATGAAAATTTGTTAAAAAAAGAGATTTAATTAGCAGAAAAAAATAAGGAATGCAGAGAGTTATAAGCAACAAATGAAAAATTGATTAAAAAAAAATATGCTAAAAAATTATAAATACAATAATTGAGAGAGAAAATATAGTCGGTAAATTATGTAAAAACTTAAGCAACTAAAATTCAAAGCGAACTTAAAACAATAGATTTTTATTAAGAAGAACTTGCAAAATTAAATACAATAGAGGAATAAGCAATAGTCTTAGAGTAATAAAAAAATGGTGAAATGAGAGAAAGATTAAATGTTAATGAATAAAAATTTTAGTAAATTGAAGTTGAAAATAAAAGTACAATAAATACATTATGTAATAGAATAACTAGCAAACACATAATAACTACTAAATTAAATATAACAGTTATAAAAAGATAAGGAAAACTTAGAAAAATTGCTTAAACAATAATAAAGTATTTAAAACAATGTTCAATCTACTAACTCATTCTCACAACCACCTCCCTCATAGTCTGAATCAAGTTAAACAAATACTTCTACTCCTCCTCCTCCACCTGGTGGTTAAAACACTTTGCCACCTCCACCTCCCCTAGGTTCAAAAACAGGATCTGTGCCTCCACCTCCACCTCCTTAAACTTAAACCGGATTTACTCCACCACCTCCACCTGGAGGACCTAAACCACCTGTACCTCCACCTCCTCCAGGTTCTAGACCACCAGGAGGTCCAGATCCTTAATTTGGTATTGTTGCTATAAAATAAAAACAAAAACCTAATGTGTAGCTTAAGTAAGTTCCATGGACAATTATCAAACCAGAATAAATTAAAAATACTATTTGGGAATAAATAGATGATACTAAATTAAAATTAGACTTCTCTATTATCGAAAATCTTTTTGCTGTTAAACCAACTATAAACAATAATACATAAGGTGGTAGTGGAATTTAACCTTAAAAATCAGCTAAGATTTCTATGTTAGGACCTGAAAGATTTAAAAATTTAGAAATTGTATTAGGTAAACTTAAAATGTCAAATTAATTAATTGTAGATAATCTTTATTTGTAATTTTATTTAATTTTAAATTTTAGACTTGATGAAACAATATTAAAACCTAATATAGTTGAATCTCTAATTGCTATAATGCCAAATGAAAATGAAGTTGGACTATGGCATGATTCAGATTAATCAAATTTAGCATTACCTGATATTTTTTGTATAAATATTAGTTCAGTTAAAGGCTATGATTTTAGGTTATTAATCTTACTTATTTTAGATTATTCTCCTTAAAATTTAAATTTAATTATAGAGATTTATCAGAAGATTTGTAATAAAAAATACTTAGTTTCCAAAAGTTAATTGAAAATACAAAAATTGATAAAAATATAAAAGTTGTTATGGAATATGCTTTAGCAATAGGAAATTATATGAATGGTCAATCTATTAGAGGAGGAGCATATGGTTTTAAATTTGATATGATGGAAAAATTAGCTGATGTTAAAAGTACTGATAATAAAAGCAATTTATTAATGTTTATTATAAAATAAGCTGAGGAAGATTTAAAAAAAGAATTAGTTTTGATTGATGAATCTTTAGATGATATTGAATTAGCTGGTAATTAATATTATTACATAATTTAGCTAAAACTCCTTTAAACTAATTAAATGTTGATTTAAATGAGCTTAAAAAAAATTCAAAAATTGTTGATAAGGCTATCAAATCAAAAGTATCCAATCCAATTTAAGATTTAGTTGAAGAAAAATTTCAGAATTTTTATTAATAAGTTGTTGCATAAATAGCTGAATTTGAAATTTAATTAAAAAAACTAGAAACCTAATATGATGAGCTTTCAAATTTTTATGCTGAAAACAAGGTTCCTTTTGATAAATTTTTTGAAAAGTTTCATAAATACAAAACTGTTTTGAAATAAGCAAAACAAAATAATATCAAAATCAAATTAACTGAATAAAAAGAATTAGAAAAAAAATAAAAATTAGAATAACAGCAGCAAAATTCGTAATTACAACATTAACAACAATAGCAATAATAACAATAATAATAATAATTAGAATAGTCTTAAATAAAAAAATAAGATGGTAAATATTAATTTATTTTTAGACAATTCACAAACAGAGTTAAAGAAACTTGATAAAACCTAAATTTTAAATGAAGTTGCAAAAAGAAGAGAATTAAAAAAGAATAGTATACTGCAATAAGGAAATGTTTAAGTTAAGCAATAAATTTAACCATCATAAACTCAAACTCAAGAGAATTGAAAGTTTATAATAAATAATTTAAAAATAATTTTGTTCAACAATGTTATAAGATGTTTTACCCATATATTTAATCATGATATATAATAATTATTGTGAATGTTTAAGAAAGTTCAAAATTGCTTCAAATCTTTAAGAATGAGTAATTAGATCATTCTAATTAACTTTTGCATCGTAACTTTCACAGTGCTAGTCATTGTAGCTACGTATTAAGTTTAATCGGCAATCTTTTTCACTTTTATTAAAACTTTTTCTTAGACTTTATCATAGAAACAAGAATAACAATTAGTTTAAGTTATCTCTGAACAACTTAGATAATATATTCAACACAAAAATAATCAAAGTATTTGAATTAATTAGATAGTATTATCCAACTTACAACATTCTAGTGATTTCTTTCAATATGTTGCTGAGTCAAGAAATAAGTATAAGGTAGCTTAAAGTCAATTTTAAGAATGCATAGAGTAGAATGAGATTGTTAAATATAAATAGAGATATAATTCAGATATTATATGTTAAGGATTTCAAATTGTAAAATCTAATGATTAAGGATAATATTTTAATGATACTTTAACTTTACTTAGTCCATTTACATAATTATTCAATGCTAATGAAGACTCTAAAATATCATATTTTGATATTCCTGAGACTTAGTTTTTTGCATCTTTCCCTAATTCATTTAAATTTAAGAATTTTAATTTAAAGACTCGACCTTGGTAAACATAAAAATAATTTAAAGGTATATCAATCATATGACTTAATCCAAAATTTATCCAAATTCTAGTTATTTTTATTCCCCTGTATTACTCTCTGCTCGTAATAACTTACCTTATTCTGCATTGACATATTCTTTGTTAAGAAATAACTCACTGTTCGGAATTGCATTATAAATATTACCTATATCAGATAATCACATATAAAATATCCCCTTAAATATATTATTAGTGCATGAAAATGGTGATGTAATTCTAAGTTCTATGGATTCATTTTATTAAATAACTGATTTAATTAAAATTAGTAATACTTCTTACACTGGTTTTAATGAAACAGATTGGGAAACTATCCAATATAATACAAAGAATAATAAAGACGATAGTACATTTTATTTGCTGAACAAAATTTATCAAAGATTTGTGTTTGTTTATACATATTAATTCTAGAAGGAAAATTTAACATTGATAGTGTAATAAATTTATTCATATTTTATAGTTTTAAAAATGTTACATATGAATAAGAAATCTCAGAATAAATTGAATTCCTAATCGATAATTTAGAAACAGAATTAATTTAATAGGTATAAATCTAAATTGGATGTTGTGCTTTTCTAATATTTATAACTGCTAATTTAATTAAGTGTATTTCAGCTCCTTTATTAGAATTAATTTAAGTTATTAATCAACATGTCATTAAAATGGGAAATAACTTAAATTCAGAAATATTTAAAATGGCTCTTAAGACTAAAACTAAAAATAATGCAGATTTATTTTCTTCTTTGGCTTGTTAATTTATAGCTTTAAAAGATTTATAAACCAAAAGTTCTTAAAGAAAAAGCATTCTTTGTTAATAGATCGAATCAATTTAATATAATTATAAATTTTAGGAAACAGACAGTAGCCAAATTTATGAATTCTTACAATAACTTCCTTAAACTGAATAAAAACCTCATAATTTATCTTTTTTTAACTTTGATTCTTAAAAACTATTAACTACAAAATAATTTAATCTAAAATCACATAAATTTAATTAAATTGAGTTAAAAGAAGACCTAGTCAAAAGTGAATAGTATACCAATAGATTGCTTTTAATTAATCATTTATTACAAAAAATATATCTATAAAACAAACCAAATTGATTATTATTTACATAAAATCTTTAGTTTTTCAGAATATTAATAATTATTTTAATTCAAAATTTAGTAGTTATATATATTTTTTATATAAAAATATTACTAGCGATATGTTTTCTGAATTTATTTAATAATGTACTTATATTTATATATAATTTGAATTTTCTTCTATATTTATTATAAATCAGCCCAAAATTTAAATTAACCTATTTATTAAAAGTAGTATTCCTTAATTTTAACATCAAATAATAACAAATAATTATAATTTAATTGGTTTCATAAAATTAAAAAATTTACATGATGAGTTTGCTTGCTTGTTTAAAAAGATAAAAAATGGAAAATTAAATCATTTTTGGGATAGTAGCAATAATGTTAATTTCATCAATATTAATTGGGATTGCATTTCTTATTTAGAATATAGTGCTTTTTAAAATGATTGAAGCTTCGTCTTCTATAATATTTATAAGACAAGAGAATAACTCAATTTAGAACCTTGGCTAATCAATCAAAAATTATTTTATGAGAAAACATGAATTATGTATCAAGCTGTTCTATATATAGACATCCATAGATTGAACAATATCAATAAATTATTTTAATATTACTCAGAAATTGAATCGAAGGTGAAGAAGATGGATTATTTGGAGTACTGTCTATTTTAATAAGACATATAAAAAAATTAAATACGATATTCTGCAGCTTAATTCTGTTATTAAGCTTGTGGAGTATATGATCATTTTACTTTGCCTTAGAATGATAGAATGATAGAGATTTTTAATTAAACAACTCAAATATTGAATTAATTCACTATCAGTTTTCCAGTAACTTTAGAATCGATTTTATCATATGCAGATCTATCAGAAACACAATTTTATGCTGCTTATCCTCTTGCCTATTCGGTATAAGGTTATTAACCAAAAAAAAGACTATGGTACACTAATCACATTTAATAAATGAATCGAAATTTAAATAGCGATTTATTTTATTCTCCTGCTTATTTAGTTGTCCATCTTTAGACTTATGCCATATCATTAACTCATACATTATTCAATTATGAAAATGAAAAAATTGGATTGGCCTAATAAATGATATAATTAGTTGATTCAGCCATTTAAGATCTTCCTTATAATGCTTTATTAATAAATAATGAAGGATAACTAGTATTAAATGCAGCAGATTTTGAATATGACCCTAAAAATATTAATTATATATATAACTAAACATTGACAGGCTTCAATAAAAGTGATTGGGAATTCATGCAAAAACTTTCAAAGAATAGAACTAATGTAGAAAATTGTAATAATTTTCAAAATGTTTATTGCCTGTATGATAAATTGAATAATTCTACTATAATTGTATTTACAAGTCAATTGAAAAATGAAAACTTTACTATTTTATTGTATTATTATTTTTGATGATAATTTAGATATACAAATTTTACCTTGCAGTCATAGATAAATGAACAAATGGCATTACTATAATTAGGGTTATTAGAAGTTGTTAAAAGAATTTGCTTTGAACATTTAGCATGTATAATATTTATAACAGCAGTTTCAATGTTAGCATCTAGACTGCTCTTTTTACCTTTAAAATATTTAATGAAAAGTATAAAAAATCATATTTTATAAATTGGAAACAATTTAAATACAGAGGTATTTAAAATTTTACATAATGGATAAAGGAGAAGAGGTAACACTTTTTCTAAATTAACTTTTGAAATATTAAAATTTTAGGATATTTTAAACAATAGAAAATCTTATAGAAATCCAATCTGTCATTAAATAGAAAACTTTTAATACAAGTTTAAGAGAGAGGGAGAGAGGAAAACCAATTTCATTTTTGATGACATAGATTTCTTAAGTAATAATTAACAAAATGAATTATCTGAAAAGAAACTTTATTTAATGTGCAAACAATTAATTCATGATAAATATAAATATCAAAAAGAATGTAGCTGATTGTAGTATTTTTATAATTTTTTTTATAATTTGTATATATCATTATATATTTATAAGGTGTGAATTATTATAATTTGGATATCAAATAACGAGGGTCTTTATTAATTATCAGATAATTAATTTTATATTAAATTTCAGTTTATTTATCAATTCATAGTTAATTTTTGTAAGAAAGATGAAAAACGCTTTAAGATAGAATAATAATAAAGTGGTGGAGCAGAATTTACATTAAGTATAATAAAGTATATAGTGAATTTTCACTTTAGATTTTATAGATATTATAATAAGTCAATACATATATAAAGTCAATAAATAAAACAACAATTAGATTATTAACTTAGTTCTGGTTGTTGTTTACCTTTATTCTTCATATTTTAACAGTTCAACATTTAATTATAATCTTCATCAATCTCATCACTTTAATTAGATAATTCATTTGACAGAATATCCATGAATGTTCTTGGTGTGTTCTGTTAACTAATAAAGGCGATTTTATGAGATCCTCCTTTGATAATTTCATTTCCAGCCCAATCCAATCTGGGAAGAGTTGAATTGATTTTCGATTAAGAAGATTTGAGGATTGGCTTTATTGATTAATTATGAGAGTCTCTTGAATCATAAGTATTAGCCAGTTCGGTTTAAGACATTATCTTAAAAAGAAAAATAATGAATTTTTTATAATAAGGAAATAATTAGTTTTGCTAAAGTAATACAATTATATATGGTGTATATTATACTAAATGTTTTATAAATATATCGATTGTTATTCATAAAATAATAAATGGCAATAATCATCATATTTGATTTGACTTACAGATATTACACTTTGTAAGGAATGAATTAATTATATGCTTAATTAAGAAAATTACAAAATATAACAATTTTTAGTACATCTGTTCAATGTTGATACATCGTATTCTACATGCTTTCATATAACTGAGCCAATACTGTATCAAGTTTTTATTGAAAAAGATCATGAAGAAAATTAAAAATAAGATTTCACATCATTCGTTGAATAGTACCAAATGATATATAGAAAGGAATTTAAACCTTTATCTAGAATTACTCATTTGCATTTATAAAGTTTAGACAATGTAAAACCATATAATACATATTCTTCAAATTCTTATATGTGGATTAAAGCAAAATAAAAAAAATTAAAATAACAAACAATATAAAAATCAAGAGAAAAATCGTTATCCACTTAGACATAGTCAAGATTTAGCAAACCAATTCTTTATGAAAGTTTATAAATAAATACGCCAAGATAAATTAAAAATAACTCTTTGATTAAATCTTCAAGAATACATAAAAAGAGTTCGGATTGCATTAATTTTGAATTGAATTCTAGAAATAGAAGTTAAAAATTTGATTAAAAATAAAGTTTAAAAACTCCCTAATTTAAATAGCCAAGATTATCTTAATCAAAAGAGAAAGATTCTTTAAAAAATCTAAACAATTCTTAACAATTTATTGGAAAGAGTAAAATTAATAATATATAAGTTCAAGATTAAAGAGCAAGAAGTTTATCTGGAACAGAAAAATTAGCAGCTCATTAATTAATAATAGGAACTATTAATGAAATCAATTAATTGAAACATAAAATGGAAGACCCAAAATTAGGTCGAAATTAATCTGAAGAAAGTCCTTCTTTATAAGTGCCTTCTAGATTAGGAATTGCACCTACTAAATTAATTTCTATAGATGTTAAAAAATATAAATTAAAATGATACAATAGTATTTTGTAATAAAATAGTGAAACTACATAATTTATTGAAATCTCTAATAATTTAACAAAGTTAAATAGTTCTTCTATTTTATTTTATTACATTTTTATTATATTTTTGTATGATTAACATACTTTTTGTATTAGTCTCACTAAATATCTTTTTCTTAATGATAATAGAAGACATCTAATATTAATTTAAGATTTACACAAACTTTATATTAGTCATAATATAAGAATTAGAGATGCTAAGTATAATTTATTTTTTAATTAATTGATCTGTTAAATAATATGAGAAAATCTCAAGGGCAATGTTTACATAAATCATCATTTTTAAGTTAAAGATAAACAAATCCAGATATTGTATAAGATAAGAAAGTAGGTGTCAGATTTGCAACTTAATATCAATTGACTGTTCCAGATATTGTGACAGCAGATCCAAGTTAATTAGAATTGATTAGAATAAAAGAAAAATATAAATGGAAATGTGAAGAACTGAATAGAACAAAATAAGTTATTGAAGATGAACATAAATCAATAGAGGAAAGAACTTATGTATATATATATTTATTAAAAAGAAATTAAATAAAGGGGAGAAAGAAATGCGTATATTGGCAGATCAAATCAAGGAGAAACTAAATATTTTATAAGAATAAGAATAGAATTTTAGAGATAAAGTATAGTTATAGGAAGAGAGAATGAAGGAGAGAGAATAACAATTATTGATTAGTAAAAGATAATTAGAGGAATAGTAGAATGTATTAGAAATGGAAAGAAACAAATTATAGATTAGAGAGAAATGTTTAAAAGAGAAAGAATATATTGTAGATTCAAAATTAAGAGAAGCAGAATAATATGTAGAGAAATTGAAATATTAATTACAAAATGTAAATTAGAAGGAAAGTATAATTTTTAAAGTTATTAATAAGATTATTATCATTAATAAATAGATAAATTGAATTAAGGACTTTAGACTATAATTTAACATGAATTATCAATAAAAAATATTGAATTTAATTTGAGTAAATAAGTTTAGCAATTGAGAGAAGTGGAATAGAGTTTGATAGATTAATTACAGAATTGTAAATAATAAGAGGAATTATTTGATTAAAGAGATTTAAATATATAAGTTAGTGAATAATTAATCAATAGAAAATTAGAGTGGGATAACAAGTAGATACATTCAGCAAAAATATCTAAGATATATTCTGAAAATTCAAGAATGGAGATCTCAAATTTTGCCCATTCTGCATTTTCACAAAAATACTGAAACTTATAAAAAGGAGTAATATAAATAATAATTTTTTAAAAGAAAAGTTCTTATATATTGATTTAAATGTTAAATTTATACAAAAAAGAAATAAGAGACATAATAAATATTGATTTTAAGTTCAACATATATCATACTATCTAATTCCAACTTCTGCTTTGCATGATGAACAAGTATGAATTTTGTCTTAACAATCTGGCATTATACATGGAACCCAACAACATAATATTCTATTGATAATAAATTATATTTATATACCCAGTGCATAAAAACAGAAGACATGATACCAAATATGTTCCTGCTCCAATTTCAGTCGTAACATTAGTTATACCTTATGTTTTACATACGGGACATATAATTTAAGCAGGATACGGTGCACCATTAGCATTAAATGATGGAGGAATATTCAAATTACTAAATATAAAAGATAATACTGTCCTACTACTCCCTATATATAAGGTGTTCCAACTTGAACCGGTTAAGAATAAACATTACTAACAATAGGCTTGTATATTTAAATTTTAAGTACCTATCCATATGTTACTTGTTGTGACTATTATTACCCATATTATTAATATTGATAAGATGAAGTATTAGTTTGTTGAGTAGGAATAAATTACTATTAAGATTATTATTGTTATGGTGCTTAAACCTCAAATGTTTGAGTAATATTACCCCAATTCTAAGATTAATTTGGATCAGATTATTACATTTTAATTTATTCTATAAAATTTAAATTAAATCACTAACAAGTGAGTAATTCTAATGTCATATCATAGCCCATGTAATTGGCATGATCTGATACAGCTAAATCAACAAGATTTGCATTAGAACAACTGTCATCTTCTTTTAAATTATCATTGCATAATTAAACCCTTTTAATTATTAATAAATAAATACTTCTTATGAATGACTAATAAATAATCTTTATAATAAGCTTCTTAATTAACATGATGGAAACCTTAAATCAAATTTGGAAGATGAGGCACTGGATCATGATTATGAGTTACTCTAAATTTAGGTCCTGGAAATAGTTATTAATTCACATAAGAAAAAAAGTTCTTATCTCCTACTCTTGGAGATCCAAAAGTATAAAATTTACTTATAGTAAAACCTCTCTAAAATATAATATAATTTATAATACAGTTGTTAAATAAACTAGTGCATGATATGCCAATGCTCCTCCCAAACTATGTCCAGTTATTGTTATTTTAGCTAATGGATACTTCTTTGTTAGAGTTTTCAAACTATTTAAAACTTAATCTTATATTCCCAAAAAAGAGTAATAGAAACCTCTAAAATAATTTTTAATTATTTTTTATACCTATGAACTTAACAATTATTTGGACAATAAGGATAATCTATCTTTATAAAGTCAATATCTTCAATCCAATTTGTTAAACTCCATGGCAAAGTTCCTCTCAAAACTATATAAATTTCATCAGTTTCAGGATGATATGCTCCATATCCTGCATTCTCTTTTGTTGCATTGATGAAAAATTATATATCAGTGATTGGTTTCAATTCTTTACATGGTTTACCACAATTCCAATTTTTTATGTGTTGCTCACTGCAATAACTTGCTGATGTTAAATAAAACAAGTGTTTTGCAAATGCTTCATCATATGTATTATATTCTACTGTCTAATATGACAGTACAATAACAAGACTTATCAAAAGGAATTTCTTCATGACGTAATTTTATAATATACAAAATAATCCAACTTTTTATTAACTTAATATCCTTTATTTTTTTAATTATATCATAATATTTCTCAAGATGACGATCATATATTATTCATTATCAAAAAAATCTAATCATCATCTGAAATTCTAAAACCATCTATTTTTATTCTATCAATATTATCCACTTTCCTTTCTTTCTTTTTTTATCACTATTTAGTTCTCTTTATTCAAAATATTTTATAAAGCATCATTCAATCATATTTTCTCTAATGTAACTTATTCTAAAAAAAAAGAAAAAAATGTATCTTAACTATTTCTTTAATAAAAATTATCCACTGGAGTGTAATTTGATAATAATTATAAACTTAATATAAATTATATAAAAAAATCATTATTCATATTTTTTTTCTATTTGCTATCTATATTTTAACACAATTTGTATTATATTAAAAATATGAATGACAAATTATTATCATTTTTTTATCAATACATATTTTCGCTAAATATAATTATAAGGAAACAGATCTAAATCAAATTCAAAATTTCGACCAATATATTAAAGGATTCCCTTTATTATGAATGATAATTAATATTAATATTTATTTAAGTTGGGTATTTTTCTATTCTCAATGATACTTGGATATGTTGTTTATCTAATTTATTTGAGAATTTAAAAGTAGTTGAGATGCAACTCTAAAGTTTTTCGTCAAAATTAAAAATCTATTTTCTTTATTTTAAATCAATAGTGTAGGTTTTGTTTTTTATTTTTAAATAAAAGAATATGATCTAAATAGTTCTCATCAAAATAAGAAATCATTGGTTGATATATGAATGTTATAGAATTGTTGAATTTTCTGCATGTTTTTTACTTTTTAATCTTAAATTGGTAAAACTTGGAATTTTCGATTAAGAAAAGTCTTAATTTTATTTTGAATGTTTTCTTTTGGATATATTCTTTCAAAGCATGAAATGAATAAAACAAAATTTAATTTTTAATAAATAAATATTCTTTAATAAATGAGAGTCACACAACCTGTAGGTATTGTACAAATGACAAATATTGCAATTATCAAATATCGTACTAATAACAATCAAAAATTTGAAATTGCTTGCTATAAAAATAAAGCCATCAATTGGAGAAATGGAGTTGAAAAGGATTTAAGGTATAATAACATAATTAATATTAGTGAAGTTCTATAGGTTTATGAAATATTCACAAATGCTACTAAAGGAGATATAGCATCAGGAAAGGAATTGTTAGTTTGTTTCTAAACAAATGATAAAGATTAAATCATTAAAACAATTCTAGAAAAAGGAGATTTGTAAGTAGGAGATAAAGAAAGAGAGGCCTAATTGGAACATTATTATAGGGACATAGTAAAATTTATATAAGAAAAATGTATTCATGCTACTTCAGGTAGATAACTTACTCAACAATCTATTGAGTATGCAATTTCAAAAGTATAATTTGTGGTTAAAACTGATAAACCTGTTAAATTATAAGCTTTATAATGTATTAAAAAACTTAAGGAGAGCTTTTTCATTAAACGAGCTCCAATGAAAGTTTCCATCTCTTTTATAGATGAATAGAGGGATCTAGTTTAGTTGATGTTGCAATAATTAGATATCAAAGATATTGTTTAAAAAAATAATAAATTTATTGTTATTATTGATCCCTAATTATTTAGAACATTATCTACTAAAGTTAATGAGAAACAATTCAAAAGCCAATTAGAAGTAATTGAAGCAGCTATCAAATAATAAATTGATGGAATTGACAATTTAGCTGAAGTTGAATTAGAATAAAGACTTGAAAAATTATAAATTTCAGATTCAGAAGAATCGGATGATGAATAAAATTAAAAGTAAAAGTAAAAGGGACCCAAAAAAAACAAATAATAAAAAAAATAATAACAATAATAACAACAACAAATGAAAAAATAAGTTGAAGAATAAGAATTGAATCAAATTAAATAAATTTAATAATAATAAAAAAAAGAAAATGCAAAAGATGATATGAGTAAATAATTTAAATGTACATAATGTTACATTTCCTTTGATACAAACTAAGAATTCAGATAACATTATAAAACAGAATGGCATCTTTACAATATAAAACTTAAATAAAGTGGAAAGATATGTTTATCATATGAGGAATTCTTAGATTATTAGATCTAATAAGAAATGACCAAGTGATATTATCATTTTAATTCATTTGTTATAAATATATTTAATTTCAATAACATATTTAATTTTCATATTCATTTATACATAATAATATAATTATAATCAAATGGTTCTTGAAATAGATGTCAGAATTTTTAAAAGTAAAGAAACTCTACTTGAAAATCTTCCAAAATTATTAGAGATTTTATAAACTGGCAGGACTTTAACAGTTTCATGGCCTAAAACTCAAAAAGACATATACTAAGAATATTTCAAAGAAAATTAAAAAATCATGAATTCAACTCAATATTAAGCTCTACTTAATTTAGTAGAGGCAACCTTACCTTATCCAGATCTATAAAGCAAAATGTATTTCTTATATTTTATTATTTAGAATTGTAACTCTTACTTTATATCATGTCGAAAAAAAGTAATTTAATGAAGTCTTAAAGTTTGTCAAAATGCTCAATCAAATTAAAATGGCTACATCTCTTAGATAATAATATCTTTATGCTTTGAAATATTTAAAATAAAATGTTAATGAGATCAATTAAATTGATTAAGTATAAATAATTATTGATATATTGCTCTATGAAAACTAAATATCCAAAGAGGAATTGAAACAATTCTATGTAATTTTTAATGAAATATTCTTAGGAATTAAAAAAAATAGAACTAGAAAAAAATGAATAAATCTATATTTGGTTTGTTGAAAAAATTTGGAATTTTGAAAAAAACAACTTCAAACTAGTAGATATCTTATTTTATTACTATGCTAATTAAAATAATATTAAAAAAGCTGAACAAATTTTTATGGTTTTCTCAAATATATAAAATCATTAACAAATTGAATAAAATTAAATATTTGATTAATTTGAGTTTTATAAAAAGGAATATGAACAAAATCTTGTTGAAATTGACACCTTATCTATTATTTTTGAAGATAAAAATGCAACTGAAGATACATAATTGTTATAATAATAATCATTATAATCAATAACAAGATTAATAGAATTGAAATAAAAAATTGGTTGTCCATTAGTTGATATGATCTATTTATATTAAAAATAAGCTTAGATATTAAAATTTAAACATGATTTAGATTCAGCTATTAAGGTACTTTTACATTGTTTAGAATTAATAAAAGCTGAAAAACTTATAAATTATAATTCTAGAATTATATTATTAGAATCTTTATGTTATGATCAACTTGGAGATTACTAGAGATCAAAAAATTTATTTTAAGAAGCACTATAATCTCTTTAGGATTCAGTCTAATTGAAAGAAGAATTAAAAGATAAATGTGATCCAAAAAAGTTAATTTACACTAAAATGTATTTAGCTAGCACATTTTATAAATTAAAAAATTTAGAATAGTCTTTAGAATTATTTAATTAAGTTCTAAAAATATAATAACACGTAATTTTTATTATTTTTATAACAGGAAGATTATGAAAGTCATCTCATAGGTTCAACTTAAAATAATATAGCCTCAATTTTATTAAATTAAGGAAAATATTAAGAAGCTAAAGAATTTTGTGAATAGGCTATTGAAAATATTGCTAAAAAATATAATGATTCTGATCCTGTAATGAAAAAAGTCAAATAACTAAAAGACAAAATTGATAGTTCAATATTATCCTAAAAAAATTAATGAATGGTACTTTTTTGATATTAATTTTATTTTTGTTTAACATAATTAAAATAACAAAAATTTTTAATTTATAATAAAATTTATTACATATTTGATTAAGAATTTAATTTTCACTTTTTTAAACCAAAAATTATTAGGAATATAAATCCCTCTTGAGATTGTTTGTACAAAAAAATAATAAAAATTGAAGTTAATTATTCCTATACTTAAATTAATATATCTCAATGACTAAAATGAAAATATAATTAATTAATTTAAGTGTGAATGAAAATAATAATCAACTAAATTTCTCTATTTGTTCAAGGCACTTTGATTTTAGAATAATTCATTTGGAGTTTACCTTTGATAATATAATTCTCTTTGGAGTCATAAACGAACTGCAAAATATAGCATAAATTGATATGCTGTCTAGTAAAAAGCTTTTCAGTACATCATCTGATTTGAATTTTATTATGATATTGGCTAGACCCAATATATACTTTTAAAGTTCAACCATATCATCTTATATACTATTTGTATATTAATGCATTTTTTTTCTTTGTTGCATTTGCCTTATATATATAGTTAAAGCTAGATCAGAAAATTTAGTCAATGAATTGAAAATTGCCTTTAACACGAACATTTATATAAAGTTACTTTTTATCTTTTTACATGTCTCAATTAGAACAATTAAATAAGGGTTTGGATACATAATAATAGACATCTGTTTTTAGACGATAAAATAAAATATAAACGATATCATACAAGTTTCTCTTTCCTTTATTATCATTTTAGGAATTGATATTTTAATTCTTTTTTTTACAAAAATGTTCTCCTATAATTGGGCTTTAGATTTTTAGAGGCANATTTTTATAACAGGAAGATTATGAAAGTCATCTCATAGGTTCAACTTAAAATAATATAGCCTCAATTTTATTAAATTAAGGAAAATATTAAGAAGCTAAAGAATTTTGTGAATAGGCTATTGAAAATATTGCTAAAAAATATAATGATTCTGATCCTGTAATGAAAAAAGTCAAATAACTAAAAGACAAAATTGATAGTTCAATATTATCCTAAAAAAATTAATGAATGGTACTTTTTTGATATTAATTTTATTTTTGTTTAACATAATTAAAATAACAAAAATTTTTAATTTATAATAAAATTTATTACATATTTGATTAAGAATTTAATTTTCACTTTTTTAAACCAAAAATTATTAGGAATATAAATCCCTCTTGAGATTGTTTGTACAAAAAAATAATAAAAATTGAAGTTAATTATTCCTATACTTAAATTAATATATCTCAATGACTAAAATGAAAATATAATTAATTAATTTAAGTGTGAATGAAAATAATAATCAACTAAATTTCTCTATTTGTTCAAGGCACTTTGATTTTAGAATAATTCATTTGGAGTTTACCTTTGATAATATAATTCTCTTTGGAGTCATAAACGAACTGCAAAATATAGCATAAATTGATATGCTGTCTAGTAAAAAGCTTTTCAGTACATCATCTGATTTGAATTTTATTATGATATTGGCTAGACCCAATATATACTTTTAAAGTTCAACCATATCATCTTATATACTATTTGTATATTAATGCATTTTTTTTCTTTGTTGCATTTGCCTTATATATATAGTTAAAGCTAGATCAGAAAATTTAGTCAATGAATTGAAAATTGCCTTTAACACGAACATTTATATAAAGTTACTTTTTATCTTTTTACATGTCTCAATTAGAACAATTAAATAAGGGTTTGGATACATAATAATAGACATCTGTTTTTAGACGATAAAATAAAATATAAACGATATCATACAAGTTTCTCTTTCCTTTATTATCATTTTAGGAATTGATATTTTAATTCTTTTTTTTACAAAAATGTTCTCCTATAATTGGGCTTTAGATTTTTAGAGGCAACATTTAATCATAAATGAATCAAGTCTAATTTATTATAGAGTTTTTATAAAACTTTTATAGCTATCTTTTGTATTTTATGATTAAGATTTTTAAATATTTCGAATCACATAAACACTATTACCAGTGATATCATCACTTATATAAATATATTAAATGCAAAAGCTAAAACAATTAATCTATGATTACTATTATAAAGTCATATTAGCAATTAATCTGATCATTATAACACTATGTTTAAATCATTTAATGTATGAATTATTTTCATAGTATTAATTTTAAGAAATTTGGATATTACTATTTATAGTACCTTTTTATTGTTTTATAAATTAAATTAAAAGGCATTTTTAAGAACATTTTATAAATTTCTAGAATTCTAGTATTGAAAACAGTAATTATGTTTTATTTTAGATCATTTACAATATGAATAGATAAAAGGATAGTTTTAATTCAGAGATAATTTATTTAATGTTTTTATAAAAACATTCTTAATCATGTAATAATCTTTAATGTGCATGTTAAAAAAGACTTTAATCAAACAATTTTTAATAAATCTCTTACTAAATTTTTTTTAAAGATCTTTTGTAACAATATGAAAAATAAATATCTACAATATCGTTTAAATGTACATAAGACTAAATCATATTTAGTTATTTTCAGTTATTATTTTTTTTAAAGCAATACCTTACTAATATTTCTAAATAATATTTCAAAAATCAAACAGAGCTAAAATTCAAGATTAAATTTTAAAATCAGAAAATTCTAACTTCAAAAAAAAAGTATTTAAAATTCATAATTTACATAAATTATTTATATTAAAAGTAGCTCAAGATTTAATGCGATTAGATATTTTTTCAAAATTTTCCTCTTAAAAAAATAGTGAATTATTTGATTCTTAAAAGAACCATGCAGCCATTAAAGAATTTCTTTAAGCAGAATAACAAATTCTTGAAATTAAAGAAATTCTAATTTAGGTTTTGTAATAAAAAATCAATTACATGGAAAAAGTTTATTCAAATATCTCTAAATAATGTCTAGAAAAATTAGCTTATTAATCAATATAAAACTAAATAGATGGACTAAAATAGTTAAGGATTTGTTTTAAACAAAAATCAAGTATTAAAATATTTATATTTTATAGATTAGAAATCACAAAATATATTGATGTTTTATCATATAGAAATATTGAATGATATTATTTCTCCATAAAATCAAAATTCAACAACTAGTTGTAAATTTTCAAATTTGATAGTTTAAATAAACAATAAGTCGAGTATCAAAATTTTGAAATGCAGCTATAATCAAAAAGATAAGTTTGATAAATTAGATGTATTAAGCCTTTAAGATATGATTCCAAATTATATTTAAGTTTCTCACATGAAATTAATAGAAAATTTTATTGCAGGTGATTAAAATAAATTTTATTAATAAATTAATGAATCTTACATTTAGGTTTCGCCATGTTTGTGCAAAAAAAAATTGATTTACTAATGGATTTAAGTTTATTAAACTTAACATCTATCGAAATGATTTTATTTTTTTGTAAAAAAAAAGATAATTAGTTTAGTATTTTTTTAGATGACACAAAAAGAATCATTAATATAGATGAAGAACTTTTTACTGATATATTAAATATTGATGGAGTTTTCGCTTAATATTTCATTGGATTGGAAATAAATGTCATTTTTGAGAATTTTAACTAATTAACATATGATTAGATTTATAATTAACAGAATTTTTATTTTGTAGATCCAAATAAAATAAATTCATCTAATCTTATAAAATCCTAATAAAGAAATATTCAGTCATAATGGAATTACACTGAATCTTTAATAACTTATTAATGCAATTTATTATTAGCTAGAAAAAAAAATGAGTTTGGATCTAATTATTATGAAATTGTATTAAAAAATCCAAAACATAAAAAGAGTAAAGAAGAAACCTTTAATCATTAATTAAAACAATCAGAAAATTTAATTCCATTTACACCTTATGATGAATCTATTATTGTAGATAAACCTTTTGTTATAGATTAGAGTTTACATAATGAAAAGTTATATAGCTAATAGTTTGTATTAAAATCTGAAATAGTATATTAAAATATAATTTAATCAGATATTTAATAAGATGAATAATTTGTTTTTAAGAAAAATAATGATGAAGAATAGAACATGAGTGAAGAAATAGATTTAAATACAGTGAGATAAAAAGAAAAACTTAAAAAATTAAATACTGAAGGAATATCTTCTTAATAATCTGCAATTTCTGTCATGTAAAATTCGATTTTTTATCGATAATTTTCTCTTGTAAATGAACTGGTAAATTCTTAAAAAATTCCTTTGATTTTTAGAAGAATGATTTGTTTCAGAATATTTTTGATTATAATATCTATTGTTGGATTTAGTTTGGTAATACTTTATATTAAATTTAGTATTTATATGAAATTAATTTGTTTCAATATTTTCAGGAAGATTTCAAATTATTAAGTATGAAAAATGATATATTTTATCCAATATTGTCATTTTAATTGATTCGATTATCAATAGTAAATTATAATGTTGAACTATTTTATAAATTAATTACCTAATAATAATTTTTGGAATTATTAATTTATCCTAATTCTAAATTAATTGGAAGTTATGAAAAATTAAAGATTGGAATTTCTAATATAGTATCTGAACCTATTTTCTTTACTCTTTATCATGATTAATTCTTAAATTTATAATTTATATAAAAAGGGAAGCTGGAAAAACTAATGAACTTGATCTCCGTAATAGTTTGATAATTTTGCTAAATTATTAATTTGATACTTAGAATGCCTATATTGAAAAAGGATAAGCTGATTATGAAAGTTCTTACTTTTATTATAATTACAAAAATATGGATACATTATTAAATGCTTTTAATAACGCAAATGCATTAGCCTATGATATTTAACAAACCAATTTAGAGAATTTTTAGTAGGAGATAATAGTCATCTTTTTACTTTATTTTTTTTTTTGATATTGATATAATTCATCATATCATTTTCTCATCTTGTATTTTAAATAAAGTAAGAAAAACTCAAGCATTTACTTTTCAATTAAGATTAAAGTTTCTTAAATTTAGAAATTTAAAGGTTAACTTTACTATAAGAGTTGATTGATTAGGACTACTCTCAAGTCTAAAATTATAAACTTAATTTTTAAGAAAAAGACAAGTATTTTGTTAAAATGAAATCTTTGTGTAATAAACAATCGAAAGATTAAATGAAAAGGAAAGCAGTAATAGGGTAATATTATAATATTAAAGCAATTATACTTACTTTAACACATTTTGTGATTTTGGCCTTAACATTTAGTATTTTGACAACAAAAGTTCATGAGACATATTCGAAAATAAAAAAAACTGGTTAATTATATGAAATTTTTGCTAATTTAAATATAAATATTTTAAGTTTGTATCAATCAAGAGAAGTTTTATATTATAAAATTGCATTGCCATTTTTAAATTAAACAGATTTTGATTAATATTATAAAATTGCTTAAAATGGATTAGCAGGAATTGAATAATATATAGATAAATAATGGGAATTTTAATCAAATAATTATTTCTTTGATTCAGATACTTTTAGCCTTTTAATTAAGTTCAGTGATGAAAATTTATGTGAGGAATTACTGGTAATTCTATATTTAAGAAATTAGTATATAGACAAATCTTTGAGTATTTGTAACACGACTTTAGGTGGGGTTTTGCAGAAAGGATTTTCATCTGCTTTGATCGATATCAAAAATTAGATAATAACTGAATTTGAAGATACAAATTTTACAATTCGAAAAAATTACCCAATTTAAGAATTAGAAGGAATTACGATTTTGAGTTATGGTTTATAATACTTAATAGAAAGGTTTTATGAAGATTTATCTTCAAATAATTATAAAGTGGAGGTGATCTATAATGTAAGATATAAGGTATTATTTAGATTATAACTATAATTTGTTTATGTATATCATTAATAAATGGATTAGTATTATTAAAATTTGATTAAATGATATTATCGAGAAAATATAAACTATTGACTAAATTTATTTATTCTGTTCCTTTGGCATCAATTTTATTTGATGATAACTTTTTAAGGAATACTAGAAGTTATTTTGTGAATTAAAAATTGATTTGAATTAAAATTTGTTTATTATGTTATTGAAATAATTTGATAAGGTATTGATAGAATATTTTTGTTTTTATGAAATAGTAATAAAAAATATTTGATTTTAAAAAGTATATAGTAAATTTTGTAATTTTTGTTTCATTTTAAAAAGAATTTAAGGATATATGATTTCTTTATGGAGAGCATTAATATTAATATGAAATAACTTTAAAATACTTATTAAATAAATAAATTAACTGTTAATGAGCGAAACAAGTTTAGTATCATATTCTGATAGAGAAATGGAGTCTTCTCTTAAGGATATATTAGAACGTATGCTTATGTAATTAGAGAAATATATTGAAACAAAAAATGATTTGAATGAAGTTGAATAAGAATTGAAAGATTATGAAAATTTAACTCAATTGGTGAATATCATAAAAATAATCTTTACTAATTTGATGTTGAAGATTGAGAAAAAAATTCAGTAAGCATTTAAAATATGAAAGGTAATTAGAAAAAAGCATAGATCCAGCTACGTCATAAAAAAGCATAAGAACAGAAGATGAGTATGAAAAATTAGAATAATCAGTTATTAAATATGAGAGTGAGATAAGGAATCATATTGGGGTAATAATTTAGTATTATTTGAACTAAGTTAGAATAATAATTAAAATTATATGCAGAATCAATCCAATCAAAATTGGAAGAAAGTGAAGCAACAAGAAATGAATTGTTAGAAACAACTAAAGTTATAATGAATGTATATTGAATAAAAATGTTATATTAGAATTTGAAAAGAGAGAATCAAAAATATTATGAAGAAAATTAATTTTTAAACGCAGAAATAGTATCTTACAAAGAAAAAATCAAATTATTAGAATTTGAATAATAAAAGAAAACTATAGAACTGGATCAAGTAGACTATGAAGTTTAACAAATAACTAAAAATACTTAATAAATAAAAGGCTTGGTTTAAAAGAAGCCTAATAATAGAGAAACTAATAAGACTAATTCTTATTCAGAACATAAATTAAGTAGTTAATTATAGGAAAGTACTGATTACCCAACTTAATCTTAAGGGTCTTTGAAATAAAATTATTTCAATATTCTATAATATGGTTAGAATCATCAAATTCAATCTTTGTAACAATCAATTTAGCAATAAGATTAAATAAAAAATTATCATATCAAACATAACTCTATATCTTCAATAAATGATATAATATAATAATAGAATGCAATTAAACACATCAAAACACATATTGGAAATTACACTGCATCAAAAAACAATTCACAAAACTCAAATATTTTACAGAAAAATATCTATTGTAAAATATAAATCATCTTTTATAGAAAATATATAGACATAGCCAAGAAGCCGAAGTGGAAGTACAAAAAGAAACATCAATTAAAAATAGAAGACATCTATTCATTAATGATGATAGTTATTTAAAACATTTTTGTATTTAATATTTAATATTTAAGTTAAATAATAATATGATTAAAACAATAGCTTAGAATTATATAAAGTAATTATCAGAAAGCATTTGTTATGGATTTGCAACAAAGATGCAAGCAAGTTCAACTTAAAAGACTAAAGATTCAGCAGGAAGAAGATTAGGAGTAAAGAAGTTTGGAGGAGAGGAAGTGTTTCCAAATGATATTTTAATTAGATAAAGAGGTTTTAGATGGAAACCAGGATAGAATACATCAGTAGGAAAAGATCATACTATTCATTCAAGAGTTGAAGTATAAATTTATTTAATGAATAATAAAAAAGGGTATTGTACATTTCAGAAGAGACCCTTATAAATTCAAGAAAACATTTTATGTAGATGTTATTCCTAGAGAGAATCCTAATAGAACACATTATCCTCCACCTCCTTACAGTTATCATCCTGAATTATTTCCTGAATTAGCTAAAAATAATCCTGAACCACTTATTTTATTGAAATAAAGTGAAGAGAAAGTGGAAGTCTAAATAAAATAATAAGGGTTCAAGATATCTACAAAATAATTTAAAGCAATTTAAATACCAGATGATTATAAACCAGAATTTACAGTTTCCACTTTGTAATAATAGTTGAGTATTAATAAATAGTGATAATGTATAAAAACATATTAAAATATTTAAATAGATATAAATATATATGATTAAACCATTTAGAGGTACTGATGGAGCATAATATGCTCATAATTTTAAAAATACTTATCTATCTGAAGCAGAACTTTAGAAACCATCTAAAGAAGTAAGTGAATAGATTGCAATTCATACAAAAAAATAATTAGATTAAATGGTATTCTCAAAATAATGTGCAACTATGGGATAATTAAGAGCCTCAGATGGAGCTGCTTAATAATATATTAAATATACTCCAAAATAAGGAGAATAACAAACTGGATAAGAGAAAATTGTTAAGTAAAAATTTTTTTTTAATTTTAAAGAGTTTAAGCTTAGTAATTAGATCCTATGGAACCTCCACGTTTTAAACATAAAAGAATTCCTAAAGGTCCAGGATCACCACCACCAATTTAAATGAGATCTCCACCAAGAAAATTAACTTTGAAAGATTAATAAGATTGGAAAATACCTCCTTGCATTTCTAATTGGAAAAATGCTAAAGGTTATACAATTCCATTAGAAATGAGATTATCTGCTGATGGTAGAACATTATAACATGTATTATACATATTATTAATTTTAAAGCATACTGTTAATGCAAAATTTGCTTAATTGACTGATGGTCTATATATTGCAGAAAGATAATCTAGAAAAGAATTAGAAGAAAGAAATAAAATATTGAAATCTATGCAATATAAAGAATATTAAGAAAAGGAAGAAGAAAATAGATAAAAAGCTATGGAAGCAAGACAAAGAAAAAATCTTCTTTTAGAATAAACAACAAAATAAGAAGATGCTACTGAAAATTAATCATAATAGGAATAGTAAGCCAGAGATGAATTTAGATACTTAAGAAAAAGAGAATTAGAAAGGTAGTTGAGATAAGAAAACTAAGGAAAGAAAAAAATTAATAGAGATAATGATAGAGATATCAGTGAAAAAATTGCCTTAGGTTAAGCATAACCAACTACTCAAAATACTTTATATGATCAAAGATTATTCAATTAAACTCAAGGTGTAAGCCATGGATTTGGAGATGAAGATGAATATGAAGCCTTTGATAAACCTTTATTTAACGACAAACCACGAGCTAATTTATATTCTGGTATTTAATAAGGAGAAGAAGATGATAAGTATTAAGACTTTTTTTATTTTAAGCAATAAGAATCTAAGAAATGTTCCTGTCTAATTTGAAAAATCTGACAATATTTTCGGTATGGATTTATTCATTGCTGATCCTGTTTCTAAAAAAACTAAGCTTGATTGAATCATTAATATATATTTTTCATTTACACAATATTATTTTATTAATTAATCTTTTTTGTTTTAATCCTTTTTAGCATTTAAATACTATGCTAAATTAACAAAATCTTACACCAAATATTGTTTAATATGATAACTGATTTTTGTAAACTTCCACAGTTTAAAGGTTAAATATAGAAATAATAAGGTTTTAAAAATAATTCATATTTTATTTTTTAATTTTTATTTTTTACAAAAAATAAAATGCATAAATATAAAAATTTCTAAAGATACTTCATAATTAAAATTTTTTTTAAAATTAACACTGAACACTAAATATAATAGTTCTTTTCTGATAAATGTTATTATCATTCTTGAAAATTTAGTAATTAATTAAAACTAAATTTGATACATAATTTAATTATTAACATAAAATATAGATATAGAGTTGTTGTTTATATAAACTTATAAGGTTTAAGAAAGTTAAAAAATGAAATTTAAAAATTCACATACTTTTAAAACTTATAACAATAAAAATAAGAATAAGAATTTAAAAATTAAACATAATTCATTTTTTCTAAATAAATTAATCAAATTGTTGAGCTTTAGTGAAATGATTAGAAGCAGTTTATGTAAAAACAGAACCATAAATTTCTTTTGATCCAGGTATTTAATATTATGGATTTAAAGGATTTGTGTATCGAACATTAGGCAATCCTTTTTTCAAAGAGCCTGATTTTGCTCCTTATAAATCTGCAAGACTGTTAGTTTCACGATAATCTTTTCTATCTCCAGTTCTTAGAAATCTGGAGGATAATGATCCAGTTTTCGTTCCTTCAATATCAGAATTTAATAAACTCTGTCTTTATTCTTTCAAATATAATGGTTTACTTTAACTTCCTTCAATTTTGCCAATAATAATTTTATTTCTAAAAATAATTTAATTAATTAAATAAATACCCTTTATCATCATAATGTTCATAAGTAGGTTCTAGTGGATTAGAAATTCTAGTAGTTTTATGCAATAAATAATCATTGATATCTTTAACATAGAGGGATTCAATTTTATCTAAAAGAATATATTGATTTTATACCTTTAGGAATGAATTTAGGGATTTGATGGGATCCATAGATATCTTCATGTTCTGAATCTTTTATAATGAGTTTCTTATGTGTTTGTTTAGGTTAAGCTCCTTAAATATCTTAGATGTTATGACCATCTCTAATAAATTTAGGTTAATGTGGTTAAGAGGCTATAAAAGTTGGTAGTTTATATTATGGTTCAAGAGGATTAAGTGGTTAACGGGATGTTTAAAATTTAACAATATTTGGTCTAGTACCTTTGATGTCATCTATAGCTAACTGTAGATCTTGTCTATTAGAAGGACGTATATTAGACTTTGATCTTGCACCTTCTATATCATCATTTTTGTTGATAAAATCTTATTTATGATAATAACTGAATTGTTTAGCTATTGATCCTTCAATATCATGATTATTAGATGTTTCTCGTGGTGTTAGGATTGGCTTTGTATTTTCTAATAAGCTTGTTATAAATATTTTAGTTACTTATAGTTTAGAGATTCATAAGATCAGTACGTTTCGGAAATGGCCATTAGTAGGGGTCATTACTCATTAAGATGTTATATAAAATAATAATTATAATATATATATATGATTATTAGGCAACTAAAACTTTTCAATACATTTATCAGGCCGATTTAATTTCGATTTATCTTTTAATAAAAGAATAAATTTTTTTAGATGTCAGTTTAATAAGACTAAGTAGAAAAGTCAAAGAAATAATAGCAAAGAGAAAAAAAGGAAGCAGAAAAAGCTTAAAAGAAATTAGAGCATCAATAAGGTATTAATAGATTGAATTAAACGAAGGATAATAATAATAGCAATAATAATAATAGTAAGTATAAGAAGAAGATAATTGTGTTGGAAAGTATGGAGACTTACAAATGATTCAATCTTAGGAGAGAACAAATCGAAAATGGATAAAAGTTGGAGATGTTGATTAAACTATGGTTGGTTAAGTAATTTTAGTAAGAGCAAGAATTCATAATTCAAGAGTGAAAGGAAAGTTAGCCTTTTTAGTTTTAAGAGATAATTATAATACAATTTAAGTAGTGGCTGAAAAAGGTGAATTTGCTAGTACTTTAATGTTGAAGTATATCTCAGGAATTCCACTTGAATCAGTAGTTGATATTGAAGCACTTGTCAAATAACCTCATAAAGAGATTTTATCTTGTACTTAAAAAGTAGAATTAGAAGTGAGAACAATTAAAGTTGTAAGTAGATCTTAACCTATGTTACCATTCTAAATTGAAGATGCTTCTAGAAGAATCACTGATTTTGAAGATGGTGTATAGGATATCAAATAAGAGGAAGTTTAACAAAAATAAGAAATATAATAAAAATAAGATAAAAATGAAAAATAAGAAAAATAATAAATATAAGTTATGTTAAAAACTAGATTAGATAATAGAGTTATTGATCTTAGAACTCCTGCTAAATAAGCTATTTTTAGAGTTTAATCAGGTATTGGATTATTGTTTAGAGAATTTTTGGTTGAAAATGGATTTATTGAAATTCATACACCTAAATTAATTGGAGGAACATCAGAAGGTGGTACTAATGTATTTAAATTGAAATATTTCAATTAAGATGCTTGTTTAGCTTAATCTCCATAATTATACAAATAAATGTGTTTGATGGCTGATTATGACAGAGTTTTTGAAGTTGCTCCTGTTTTTAGAGCTGAAAATTCTAATACACATAGACATCAATGTGAATTCATTAGTATGGATATTGAAATGGTTATTAAGGAACACTTTACTGAACTTTTAGATTTAATGGGTGATTTGTGTATATATATGTTTAAAGGAATTGAAAAAAGATATTAAAAAGAAATTGAAATAATTTCTTAATAATTCCCATTTGAACCATTCAAAATACCTGAACCTGTTTTAAAACTTACTTTTGAAGAAGGAGTAAAAATGTTACATGAAGCAGGAGTCAATCAAGATCCTAATGATGATTTAGACACTACTAATGAAAAAACATTAGGAAAATTAGTAAGAGAGAAATATGGAACTGATTTTTATATTCTTCATAGGTATCCTAAGAAAGCAAGACCATTTTATACAATGCCTTGTCATGATGATCCTAATTATACTTTATCTTATGATTTTTTTATGAGAGGAGAAGAAATTGTATCAGGAGCATAGAGAGTTCATGATCCAGAACTTTTAATAAAACAAATTAAAGAGAAAGGTATTGCTGTTGAACCATTGATGGATTATATAAATTCATTTAGGTATTTATGAAATATTAATATATTTAGATATGGTGCGTATCCACATGGAGGTTGTGCTTTTGGATTAGAAAGAGTTGCATTCTTATATTTTAATCTAAAGAATATTAGAAATGCTTGTATGTTTCCAAGAGATCCTGTAAGATTGTTCCCTTGATATAATAATACAAAAAATAGAATAATTCAAAAATAAATCATAAATCTGGTTATACAACAAATTATGAAATTAATTCAAATCCTTATCTCATTCTCTAGATATGGTTTATTTGAACTTCTCTCAAGGCACATTACAAGAAAGAAACATACTAAAATTTTAAACAATAATCATTTTGGTCTTATTCACTTTTTGTATGAAATAATAAAATAACAGTAGTTTTTTAAGATTAAGATCCTTGTAAAGATTCAAATTTTTAATCTTTATAATGTTATTCATGAGTAACTAATTAGTTAGCCTCTAATTATTCACTATAAATATAATATAAATTATTTACTGTTCTATTTCTAGTGGATCATCTGATATAACCAAATCAATTGTATTATTTTTATATTATGATTCATATTCTTTGATGACTCCATATGCATTATAATCTTAACCAAAAAAAGCTCTAAAAGTAGAACTTTTAGCCTTCACTATATGTTCAATATTTTGAACTGCTTCTTAAAATAAAAAAGAGTTAAATAAAGAATAATCATATAATGTATGTGATCCTATTACAATCACAATTAATTATTTTTCTTAAGCCTAAGTGATGATATCATTAATTTTCATTCCATCTTCAAAATTAAAAATATCTTTATTAAAATAATAAACTAGAGGATAATTGCTATGATAAATTAATGAAACATGAGTTGCTGGATGAATTATTAAATATGGCATAACAAAATGTGTATTTTTTGACTTTTAAACAGTCATAAAAAGTGAAGAAGTATAATTTGTACCAAAACATATAGGAATACTTTAATTTTTATTTTCATCTGATAATAATAAATTACTCGAGTCATGTTTTCCTTCACATTTTTATATACACCTCCCATAATTATTTAAGTAAAACTCTTAATACCAATAAATGATACTTCACTTTAACATTTATAACAAGTTCCAATTATATGCATACATTCAGCACATCTATCTTCACATTTTTTACATTTCTTCTCACTTTTATTCATATAATAACCACTTTCACATAATACTTCACTAAATCTTTTATCCTACTATATTTCATCGACTCTCTCTATATCATTTTTATGTTTTAAATTATCTTTTTTCTCTTTATTTAATTAATCTGTTTATTTTTATAATTCTAATTTAATCATCTATCTATTTTACCTTCAGAATCAATATTTTATTAATCCTTTAAATCCTCCTTATTTTCCTATTCTTCAGTAATATTGCTATGTGTTTTATTTATATCTTCTTAATTTTCATTAGAATCATTCTTCTGTAGATCATCATTCTTTTCTTCAAATTATGTTTAATCTACATTTTATATTATCTATTCCTTTTTCTCAGGAATAACTATAAATTAAAACACATATTACTTGTTTTATTCACATTTGCATTATTAAGAATTTTATTTTTCTATCCAGTCATTTATGAATCACTCTAACCAACATAAATCAAAATAGCTCCAAGAATTGTGACAATAATAATCCATATTAGAAAAGATTTTTAACTTGGCTTATGCTTTTCCTTTCTCTCAACTATAATATCTAATTCGCCATCATCATCTGCTATGTCTAAGGAATGCTATTCATCAGAAATTGGCTTATAAGGCTTATAACTCATCCTTTAATTTAATTAATTATAAAAATAATTAAATAAATAATTTTAAATACTTTTTGTTTAAAGCATACTCATTGAATATTGAGCTTCTTTTAACATTTTATAGTTTTTGTTAGAACAAAATCTAAATAGAATAAATAAATCATCATTTTTTAATATCGAAAAATAAAATAAAGCATATTTTTAAAATTAGCAATAAAGTTTAAATATGCGATGACTATGTTCAATTAAATTATTCAAAATTTATGAATCTTCTTTGTTATTTCACTAGTCCCCTTTTTCTTTTTGCATTTTAATGTTTTTTAAACATCTGAAAATTCAATAAATTCAAGATAGTTGATTTCGCCTGTTCTCATATGTTTAAATTCAGTTATATTCTTAATTTAAATGGTTCTCTTCTCTCCAATTTTGTGTTAATTAACCTATTTCATACAGTTCTTATCATTAGGTATAAATGAAATCTACTACTGCTGAGTTAGTATTTCTAATCCTGGTTTGCAATTTATAAATTTATCATCACTATAACAACATTTTTTCAACTTAAGTGATTCATTGGCTCCTTCATCTTAATTTTCAAATTTCAGTCTTTTAGCTAACATAGATGTTATTTCTTCGACCTCTACAGTTTCAAAGTTATTTTCAAAATAAAAATCATCTTCTGGCTAGGTTTCTGATTATTATTTTCTTCTTAAAGGTACTAAAATCTTTCTTTGTAGCATTATAATTTATATTATTTAATATTTAATGTAATTTCAATTTAATCAGTAATATAAATCCACATATTAATATGTAAAAACAAATAAACAAATTAAAAAATACAAGAATCTGTATTTTTCTTTTCAAAAATTTTTAATTTCTTGACAATTAATTTTATTTATTGAATATATAATTTAAATTTATATTGTATTTCATAGACAGTAAAAATATTAATTATGATTATTATCTTATTATTAGGTTAACTTATTTAACTTTAAAAATGTGATTAAGTGATAAACCATGAAAATAAAGTAAATTTATGAATATAATAGATAGTAGATAACCCTCATACAGGAATATTATATGGGAATTCAACATTAGGTTATTATTACATGAATATTTATGTTGGTGAAAATAGGAGTAAACATAGTGTAATTGTTGATACAGGTAGCTAGACAACAACAATAAATTGCAATTAATGTATTTAATGTGGAAAACATTAAAATGATCCATATCAATTTAATTAGAAAAATTACAATAGTCATGAATTGAGAAAAGATTTTAATTGTTCTTCTTTTTAGAATGATAGATGCAAATTTGCTTCTCATTATGTTGAGGGTAGTTCAATAGAAGGATTTTATGTGAAAGATAAAGTATTAATAGGGGATGGATTAATATAACTTAATGATCAATATATAGAGCAAGAATAATTTGAATCAATATTTGGTTGCACTTAATTTGAGCAAGGATAATTATATTCTTAATTAGCAGATGGTATATTTGGATTAGGTCCAATATCTAATCACTCTTTGTATCCTCCTAATTTGATTGATTTTATATCAAAATCTGAGAAGGAAAAATCAATTTAAAGACAATTCTCTCTCTGTTTAAATGATGATAATGGTTATATTAGTGTTGGTGGTTATGATTAATAAAGATTAGATCCTAATTTTACAATTAAAACAATCAAATTTAAATCAAGTTAATAATATCTAGTTAACCTTACTTAAATAGCTTTTGGAGATTAATTATTTTCTGTTGATGATTCAATTTACACTGAAGGTTAAGGCACATTTATTGATTCAGGAGCTACTATTACATATATGGATAAAGCAATATGTAATTAATTATTTAAATCAATTCAAAATCATTTTTAAGTCAATTAAATTGCTCTTAAAATTTAGATGTAATATTAAATATGTTTTGAATTCGCATAAAATATTTCTACTTTAGATAATATCTACTCATATTTTCCTAGTATGAAATTTATATTTGAGGATAATGTTGAAGTTTTTTGGAAACCATAAAATTATCTTTATCAATATAATGATAAAATTTGTATTGGAGTAGAGCCAATTTCTAACAGAGTTATTTTAGGATAAAATTGGATGAGAAAGAAAGATATTCTCTTTGATTTAGAACAATAAGAGATATCAATTGTATAAGCAAATTGTACTTTGGATTAATTTAAATTATAAGTTGTAACCTCTCAAAATCATTAAGTCTTGAAAAATATTAGATTCCCAAGTTTGTTAAAATTAACTCTTAAAGATGAAGAATAAGGGAATGAATAATAATAATAGGTAGAAGTTCCATCATTTGATACATTAGATGGATAAGAGAAAAAAGAGGAGAAAAAGAATTAAGATGAACATTCATGGTTGGAAATCTTATTTTACATTTTTATTGTAATTATTACATTAAAAGGTTTGGTTTTCTTAGGATTATACATTATGAAAAGATTAGGAGGGTATAATTTTATTTTATTATTTAGAAATTTTTATACATATGTTTAGAAAAGTGGAAAGTTTTAAAAAATAAATATTGAAGGAGAAGAAAATGATGAAAATGATTCTATATCACACTAGGTTGAGTTGGTCATAAAATAAAGTGATTAAATTGCTTGAGTTATTAACTAATAAATATTAATTAATTCTAATATAATGATACCTAATACAAAAAGAGATTTAGTTGCCATAGAGTACTTATAACAAAATGTTTATCCAGGATTATAGCCAGCATTAATGAAAGTATTCTAAATTAATATTATTTGTTAATTGATCATGTTGTGAAATCAGATGAAGTTAGAAAACATTAAGAAAGACTTAAAAAAATTAAAATATTTGATAAAATTGAATAGAAGAGAGTTGAAAAAGAAAGATTAAGAGCTGAACTTGGATCTGAATATGAATCCTCTGATGGATCTGTAGATTTAGATGAAATGGGAATTAATTAATCAGAGTTTCATAAATATATGGGAAAAGAATAAAAAGAAATTTAATCGCCTCTTCCGATGGATGAATAAGTATAATAAGGAGGAGTTGAAGAATAGACTTCATAAGACTTAAAAAAAGATACTTTATTATCTTTAGGAGAAATCAGAGAAGACTAAGAAGATGAAGATTAAGCAGATAAACATGAATTAGAAAAAATGAAGTAATTTCTAAGGTAGCAAAGAGAAGAAATGTCATTTAATCCATTACTTTTTCTAGCCCAATAGATTAGAGATATTATTGCTGCAAAAAATTGAGTAAAACTGATATATAATCTGTTTTTTATTTTCATTAAATATTATAAAGCAAAGATGTTACAAACTTTATATTATAATTTTATGACAAAAAAAGAAAATTTCACTTCATTATGATAGTCTACTAAATAAGTTGTGTTGCTATTTTCATTCCTTTTTGAATATGTGAAAAACAACTGCAATTACCAAAGAAATTAATGAATGCAAATCCCTTTCATAAAAGACTCTCTTACTCGGCTCTTAGCTTATGATTAAGAAGATGCTTTTGTCTTTTATATGAGTAAGGCTATTCAATAATTTTCGACTCTTATATCGCTAAATGATCTTGATAGCTAATTTATATATATTATTTAGATATTTTATTATATTTTATCAATAAAACTCTGAATAGTTAGAAAACACATCACTCTCCTTTTCTCCTGTTTCAGATCCAGATTTTTAATCTTATTTCTCCTTATTAGCTGCATTCTCATCAAAGCTAAAAACTTTTACTTTCTTTCTAAACTTAGAAAATAACTCTTCATTTACAAAGTTCTTATTTTTTAATTTTATTTTTACTTTTCTCACTTCAATTAAATAATTAAAGAATTTATGATTCCTTTCTTTTCTAAGTGTTTTTAAATCTTTTATTGTTAGCTATCTTTCTTTTTAAAATTGTTAATCTTCTAATTTTAAAAATATCTCTTCTTCTGAAGGTTTTAATGATTAAATTCTTTTATATTATCCAAAAATTTTCTCTAATTGTGAGGATACAGGATAAGACTGAAATAGCTAAAGAATATTTTACTTTCAATTTGACCATTTTAAAATCTTCATCAGGATCTAAAATACTTTGTAATTTATACTTATTGTATAAAAGTGTTGCTTTTTCTTGTCTCTATCTAAATTTGCAACATTTGCTGTATTCTTAATTTTTGATTCCATCTCATTTTAATCATCTATAATTTCTTCACCTAATTAATCTTTCTTTTAATCCTCATCCTCAGACTCAGAGTGATTACTACTATTACTTTAAGACATTAATTTAATATTATAAAAGAATAATTTAAAATGTTATAGTCAAAAGGAAAACTTTCTTCAAGAATTTCCTGCACCCTCCTCTAAAATTTATTGAAAGGGTCTTGAAAAAGGATATAAATTTTGATCGAGTATAATAATCTTTGCTAATTCTAATTCTCTAATATTCTCAAAGAATAATATCAAGAGCAAATCTAATCAAAAGAGATTTCAAAGCTAGGCAAATAAAAAAAATATGAAAATATATTTTGTTAATAACAATTCACCAGCCATCGACTTAATAACTATTAAAATCTATTCAGTATTTAATAATTAGAAAAAATACTTTAGTAAAAAATAAAGGAAATAAAAACCTTTGTTCTATTGAAAAGAATTAGTATGAACTATTTCAAAAAAATATGAAAAGAGATTTTACAATTAAATAAAAGAAAAAGAAATATAATTAAATAAATTTATTTAAGGTCTAAAAATCAAAAATAAATAGGAAAATGATTTGATAAAAATCGAAATTTATAATTAAGAATGCAAGACATAAGTTCCATAATAAAGGATCTGGGGAAAATTAATAAGAAGTTACTTTAAGAAATAAATTAAATGAAAGAATATAATTTAAACAATTTAAAGTTAGTGATTGATACTTAAAGAAACAAAATTTTTAATATAAATAAGACACTAAAAATTGTAAAATCATATTATATAATTAATAAGTTAAATTGAAAATAAAATAATAAATAAAGAACTCAAAATAAAATGATAATTTAATATATAACAGTTATAGAATAGTAAGACATATTGAATAAAAAGCTGATCTAGAAAAAATAAATCAATAATATTAAGTAATTTTCTGAATGAAGAATAGAATTAATTCAATATATGTAAATTTTAAGAAGGATTAACTTTAATCCATAAAATTAAAACTTATAATTCAAAATATTTAATTGTGAAAAGAATATTTAATAATTAGAAAGAACTAAATAAAATGAGAATTAGATGTGAAATTTTTTTAGCCCATTTTTGGTAATAGAATATATTTATGAGAATATGAATGGAGTTTTTAATTATTTGATCAAGAAATTATAACCTCCAGAAATAAAAAAATTAGATTATATATAGCAAAGCTAATTTCACCATTAATGAAAAATATGTTTTTCAATAAAGAATGAGATTTAATAAAAATTTTATTTTGTAATATTTTTAAAACTTTCTCACTTAAAGCAAGAAAATAAAATCAAGTTATTATTGGATAAGACATTTTCAAAAAAAAATTTAAATTACAAATATAAAATTGGAACAGCATCGATAACTGAAAATAAAGGAAAAATTATTTATTGATGTCGTAAGACGAACAAGAATTGTTGTAATAAAAAATAATTAGATCAAATTTTTAGGTATAATTAATCTAAATAATATGTACAAAATTAATATAATAATTGATAGGAAATATTGTTATTATTGTAAAAAATAGTATGAATTAATTTTAAATAAATGAATAGATGAGAATAATGATGGGAAGTAGAGAAGAGGAAGAATTTTTTTATTATTATATATATTGTTAAACGCTAAAAGAAAGGGAAACAGTTATCAAATAGATAATCTTTTTAAAAATTGTAACTATAAGATAGGGTAATTTAAACTTTCCAAGATTATTTTTCTGAGTTAAATCAAGGAAAGATTAAATTAATTATAATTTCAAATACATTAGAGATTAGAGAAGTGAGAAAAAACAAAATTTGTTGAGTTCTACAACAGAATATTAGAGCAGAAAGCTCATAAAATGATATAGTGATTAGAAAAGATTTTTACATAATATAATTCCAATATCGTTTTTATTATTTATAATAACTAAAAATGAAAGTTTGTGTTTTCATTTTGATAATAGGACTAGTTCTGTGTAACTAACTAAATGGATAAAACAATCTTAGATAAGATTATTAGTTTGCTCCTTGGAGTTTAGATTGTACAAACAGATGTTAAAGTGCTGGAGGTGTTGTTTGCGGATATGAAACCTAAGTTTGTTGCAAATCAGTATCAAAATGAAAGTATTTTGATAGGGTAGATGTTAAAAAGGTTGGAAATCTGAGTAATGTGGTATTTGGGATAGAATCCATGTTCTAAATTGTGTTCCTGGACCAAGCAGCAAATGATATATAAAATAATTATAAATATGAGCTTAATATATATAATTTCATAGTTTTGCTAGTTCTAATAATCTTTGAATTGTAATTTGTTAATCAAATTTAATGTTCTCCTTGTATAAGGAAATAACTATTTTACAAAGTATAATTAAAATCTAATTCTAAGTATCAGTCAAATTTTCTATTATCATTTATTATAAGGATTTAACTAATTTTTATGAAAGTTTAGTTTTCATAATTAATTCTCTTTCAAAATTATGAAATTTTCTTTTCTATAGCAACCTTGAAATGTACAATTCTTTGACTTTTTAATCTAATTCTGGATTTTTTGTAATAGTTTCTTGATAATTGAATAATTTTGTTAAAGTTAAATCTAAAACGTATTTTTCTAAATTATTAGTACTTAATATAGGTTGGCACTTTAGATACTATTCATAATTTATGATAAGTCTATTGACTTCAGTGATATCATTTGAAATGGAAGTTTTTAATTCAGGTATCATTACTTGATGATTTATTACTTAGTCCCAATCATATCTATCATTTTCATCATATTTTAACATATTATTTATCAAATTTTATAGCATCTAAGAAGTATTATTAGAATATGTAATATTTTTTTGTATTTTTTACTGGGCTTAGACCAGATCCTACATATCTTTCAATCGAGATCTCCAAGGAAATTCTCCTTCAACCAATTAATATAGAATTATTCCTACGCTCCACACATCATTTTTTTCTAAATCATATTTCTCTGATTTCAAATTTTGAGGAGACATATATATTGGTGATCCTTTGAGAAGAGTAACAGTAGATCTATCTACAAATCTAGACATTCCAAAATCTATTAATTTAGGAATATTATTTTAAAACACAATATTATCAGGCTTGATATCTCTATGAACAACTCCTGATTTACCATCGAAACTTAATTATTTCATATAGACAAGAGCATCTATTATTTGAGACATTATTTCAATCGCTTACTCTAATTTTATTTTTTGAAATTACTTTCTGGAAATATCTTGGTCTTCATCAATTAATTATCTTATTTTAAACACATCATTTATTTTAAAGATCCTCCATTACAATATTCCATAAATATGTAAAAATTATTTTAACTTGTTGAGCTTTCATAAAATTTTACAATATTTTTATGAGACAATTATCTTCCAAGTATTAATTCTTAATTAACTTTTTCAAATAGTAATCTCTTAAATATATTTTTTTTTAATTACATGATCAGATTACATGGAAACCTTTTTGACACAACATTCTATTTATTTATCAGTGTTATATCCAATATAGCCTTTAAAAACCTATCCATTATTTCCAGCTTTTGGATCAATTTATTAATTAGGTAAATAAACTAATCCTCTATCAATATTTAATTATATAAGGTTCTAACAATTGGTTGTTTTTAAAAAGCATTAATCATTTTTATCCATTTTTATAAAAAAATTTCTATTATATATATTTATACGTAATTATGAACTAAAATAACAATATAGAATGTAATTCTATTATAATATGAATATGATTCAACTCCATTTGATACCAAGCGCTTTCATATATTCTATTCCTTTATTTAGGTTTGTTTCTGATAAAAACTTTGATTCCATAGTTCTTATTTCATTATATCCTTAGTCTAATTTATCCAAAAATCCATCATAAGTAGAAACCAATGGATCATATAATAAATTATCCACCCCTTACAAATGGGATATACACAATTATCTTTAACTTCTTATTATTGAATAATAAGTGAATGCAGAAAGAAACTTACCTTACTAGCAAGTCTCAAATCTCAAATGTCCTCCATTGAATTTTTTGAAATCTGGTTTCATTTCAATTTCTTAGATGGTATAAAACTAAATTATACTTAATATAAAATACAAGTTATAATGGCATTTCTTTCATATTTCCTCCTATATAATCAACAAAATGGTTTAATTGTTTTTTAATATTGTCTGGATTAAAATTTTTATATATTTATTCAAGTCTATTATCTTTTTGAATCTTCAAATATGCTTATATAATATTTCCATCTTTGGGTTGAGCTTTATCAATTTAATATTCTTTAATATAATCATAAAATTCATTAGATTAATCATCATTCAATGCTTAAATAAATGTTACAAAGTTTTTAATACCTTCATTCATAATTTATTAATTTTGTATTATTTCTTATAAATATTGTTTAAAATGTTTTTTTGTTTCTAAAATATATTAATCTCTAAATTTAAATTCTAGAATATTTTAAGCTTTTTAATCCCTTAATTCTTTTATAAATTTATTCATAAAATCTTAAGTGATAAGAGTAGCCAAACTGTTATCAATAGCTGTTTCTTTTGTCTCTAATTCTTCAGCATCTTATTTTTTGCATTGTTTTATACCAAATATTTTACCTTCTAACTGTTTTTTATTAGGACATTTAGTGCATTTAAATAAGAAATATTTATCTAAAGCTTATTCACTTGATTAAACTGGTACTTGACAGTAAACACCACTAATATCTCCAATATCACTTAAGTCAACAATTCTTCTATAATCTTAATCACTGATATTATATAATGTATTCTCTGCTCTTCTATTTAATTTAGCTTAAAATAATTTAAAATCTTATTCTTTGCATTATGCTTATTTATCTTTTAAAAATTATCCTAGATTCACTTTATCTAACATCATTTACTCAATCGCAAATTCAATCTCTTTGTTATATTCTCTTGGCACTTATTCTACTAATCTTTAGATTCTAAATTAATAAACAGGCACAATAGCTGCATTTTATATTGCAACTAGCTCTTTTTCCTTTTCTACCATCTTACTATCACTTTCATTAATTTAATGTTATAATGCTTTTCTTTCTTCTTCAGCCTTTTATTATAAAGTATGTTTCTCTTTTATAGATTTTTCTAGTTCTCCTTTTAGTCTTAGAATCTCATTTTCTAAATTCTATTCTTTAGATTACCATCTTTTTTAATCATCTTATTATTTCTAGTAATACTCTTCCATCTCACAATTTTTTGTTTTTGATAAATTTTCAATTTAAAATTTGTATTAATCTATTTATTTTAGTTTATTATTTAAATCTTAATTTAATTCTTCTTAAACTGATCTTAGTTTATGTTCTAAAGTATTCAATTAATTTATTAAATTGCTATTTTCGGTTTTTTATTTATTTAGATTGTTTTATAATTCTGTGATTTTTTGCTGAAAGTTTTCTTTTTATTCTTATAATTCTTCTTTTTCTGCTAATGCTGAAGTTAATTTTCTTTATAATGTTTAAAACTGTTCAGCTTATTGTTACCCTACATTTTAATGAACATCTTAATGCTAATTTAATTCTTCCTGAAGCTATCTAACTCTATTTGTTTAACTAATTAGCTTTGAGTTAATTTTTTCCTTTTCACCTTTTAATTCACTAATTTCATTGCATATTAAGTCATATTATATTTTCTTTTCATTAAGTTCTTGGTTTTGTTTAAATTATTAATTCTTTATTTCTCTTTTTAAATTTGAGACTGACGTTTCCAAATTCTATTTTTCGTTATCTAATTAAGTATATGAATCTTTTTATTATCTAAGATCGTTTTCTAATTAATCATATTTCCTTTTTAATCTATTGTAATTCTGTTCAGATTCTATCTTGTCAGATTCAATTTACTTTTTTTCATATTCTAACTAAGCTCCATATTATTGCCATTTTTAAATATATATCTGAGCATCTTATTAATATTTGTTAAATTATTCTATAACTTATTGTTTACTTTATCTTTCCCAATTAAATGCCCTTAAATGATTTTCTATATCTTAAGCTTATCTTTAACACTATTCCGTTAGATTTTTAATTTCATCCTTTTTTTCTTACAATTATTTATCCATATCTTTTTTCTACACTTCTTGCAAAGAATTATTTTATTATAAATCATATTATAATTTCTTCTTATCCTCTAACAAATCTTTTATCTTATCTTGCCTTACTTTTAATTCTTTTTCAGCTTCTTTTAATTCTTTTTCAGCTTCTTTTAATTTTTCCTAAACTTCCCTATTTGAATGATTCATCGCTTAAATTTCTTTTATTTTTGCTTCTTATCTAATTGTAATTTCTTAAATTTCTGCCTCTTATCTTTTTTTAATTTCACCTATCTCCACTTATAATTTTTTATTTTCTTCATTTGATTTTAAGAATTTCTACTCAAAACCATTAATTGTATTAATTGCTTAATTCATATAAAATAATTTATATTGTCTTTCTGGGAGCAATCTAAAGTTTTAAATTAATTGATTACTTATGATAAAATTTGCTTACTAAATTTTTTTCAGTCAAATCATATACTCCTACAAATTCTTCAGGGCAATCTAATTTTAAATCTAAAGAAGTATGTTAATTAGTTTTACCTTTGGATATGTTTCTGTAATAAACCTAATCTTGATCTTAATTTTTAATTTCATATGTACGAATGTTTCCATTCGGAAGAACAAATTCAATTTAACTCATTTAATAGAAAATAAAATAATAAAAGATTTCATCAAAAATAAAATAAAGAATACCCTAATTCTATTACTAAATTACGATAAAAATCAATTTTCTTAATAATAAGAGATTTTATGACAATTAAATTTACATTTTATAAGTCAATGAATTAAAAGTCTGATTTTCATTTAGAAGTAATTTAAATATAAATTTTTGTATTGTTCTAGTATTTAATTAATATTATTTGATATTGAATTTGTAAATTAAATTAAATATAATATATTTTATTTATTGTAAATCAGAATGATCTAAAATTTTTATCTATTTTAATGCAAGCATCCTCTAAAAGTTTGAGTAAAGCTTCAGTTGTTGCCTCTCTCTCTCTTCTTTCAAAACTTATATCTTGTTAGAGTTTTCCATGAACATCTTCAATCATTCTAAAGATCTTTCCCTAGGTTTCTTCTCTAACTTTCTTTTCAACAAGCAATTAATCTGAAAATTTGTTAATTTCAGTATCAATTTATTCAGTTAAAGATTCTGCAGCTTCTTCTCTGTAAATTTAAATAAAATATAATACCTAGATCTTCTTTCTTAATCTAATTAATTTTTGACTAATTAGACTTACTATAAAACTTCAGCAATTTTTGCTTGACTTCTATCTTCATATTAATGAGTATTTCTTGTAATAGTGAGTGTGATTTAAGCAAATCTTTCATCTATTTATTTTTAGAGTTTAGTTTCAGCTTAACCTCTTGCATTTCTTTCTTATTCAAAAGACAAGGCAACATTATCTGAAAGTGTTCTAAAATCTTTTTCTTTTTTGTCATCAAATGCCTATTTAGTTAATATTTATACTTCTCTTTCAGATTTTTAGTTGTGTGCTTAATCCTATAATTTTAAGACTTAATCTTTCAAGACCTTAAATCTTTATTCATCTTTTGGTTTCTCAGATGCTAAAACATCTTCAATTATTTTAATTCTCTCCTCTAATACTTCTCTTTTCTCAAGTTTATCTTTATCTATTCCATTTTGAATGTGATTCCATTTATCAGAAAGTAATTTGATTCTCTATCTTGATGGAGAATCCAAATCTTAACTGAGATAATTAATTGTAGATCTCTTTGGACTAGACAATTAAGAGGAAGAGAGTTTTGATGTAGCAAGTTTGGATGTTGATAATAGCATTGGAATTAATGATATTTGTATAAATAAATTTATTTACGATTTATTTCTCATTAATAACAATAGTATTTCAATTGAATTTATTCTAGGACTAGTTTAAGTATTATTATTTTTAAGAAATAATTTTTATTAATCTCCATTAAATCAAGATGGAAATACATTTATTATAAGCTTTAATCAATATGAATAAACATTAATAAACTTTATTCATTTCATTTTTAAAATCCAAGTACCACTGTAAGTTAAATCATTTTCAAATCCATCATAATACCATTATCCACTAAATGCTCTTACTTCTTCATCAAATTCCCCTTAATAAATTAGATGTTCCCATAATCCTGATTATCTTGCTTATTGTTATTCTTCATAATCCTTTATAAACCATATTTTAAGCTAATTACTATAATCTATAATAGTGACTCCACTACCACTCCACACACCATACTTATCATTTCCTAAAAGAGAAATTGAAATATATTATTCCTTCTCATTAATCTTACACATTATTTATACATCCTCTTCTTTGTGAAGTTTCCCATTTTGAGTAAATATCAATTCATTTTAAGATTAGTTAAGCATTTTACCCACTTTCCTAAATTGATTCAATAATAGATTACTATTTTTTATTAAAATAGCATTATTTAAAAAGGACTCCATCATTATTGTTCTTCTATTTAAAATACAACGAAATAATCTTATAACTTACTTTCTTTTCCAAATTATAAATAAGATCAAAATTAAACTAAACACTATACAAGTTATGCTTATTATTTGAATTATTGGCTATTCTTTCTCAATTTTACATTCATTATAACATCGATCATAATCATTATTATTTTTACATTAATCCTTGCAACTCTTCCCTTTTGAAGATTCATCGAGAACATTTTGAGATTTTGAAATATTGACTTCATTTCCAAATACGAATGGAAATACTGAAAAGTAGAAAACATATTTTATGTAATCAATTTTAGACATTATTTAAATAAAAAATGAGCAACTCTTGCTAAATTCATAACCATACGTATGTATAACATATTGAATTTTCATACATTTAGTTTCTTTACTAATAACTTTAAAAATATCACAGCTAATATATGAAAAGCTATAGCCACTCCAAATAAAACTAAAATACAATTCCATAATCCAAAGTCTCTTCCATAATATTGCATAGGACTTATTGTGATAGTTTCGAAATCATTTTTATTTTTTATGATTGTTGTAAATTCTACATCTTCTAGTTGAGTTCTTCCAAAAGCCTCCAAAAAATATTTAAATGGCTTAAATAATAATATTAAATAGATACCGAAATATATTAAAACCAACTAATCCATATAGGAATTGTTTTCAAGTTTACTAATTGACCGCCAAACAATTAAATTGGTAACATTATGACAGGTCCTAATTAAGCAGCTCTTTTAGGATCAGGAAACAAACATCCTGTAAAACTATTTTACTTACAAATATAAATACATTCCTATTCCATTTCCACTTAATGATACTGCTATTGTAATCAAAATAAACTAGATAACTTTTCCAATTTCCCAAATAAATCCAAATGCCCAATAAAGAATCAATGCCAATATTATGGAAACTGATATATTTGATGGAATTTCTACGAGAATTTTCGTAATAAAGTATGGAAATATTTTATACAATTTAGTATTTTCTTCTTTTAAAAATATTTCTCTTTCAACAGGAACTAATATATATCATATTATATACATAACATCATCATTGGATGTAATGCTGAAAAGAATGCTCCTGTTCCTCCCATAAAACAAGCTCCATTCATATTTTATAAAAATTAAGTTATTTCTTAATATGAAGATATTTGAGGTGTTTGTTTTGGCATTTCATGGCCTACATTCCAATATAGACTACCAATAAATATTGATAAAATAAAAGCAGCAATAATTTTTGCTCTAAGTAAAGTAGGTGATCTCCAAAAATTAGTTTTAGCTCTCCAAAATAACATTTTGAATTCTTCACTAAAAGTTGATTAAGTTTTTCTTTTTAAAATTCCATTTTACTAAGTTGTATAGCTAGTTACTGCTAATTCTAAATATTTTGAATAATTATCATATGTAACCAATTATTATTAATTATTGTATATTGGATTAATATTATTCATAATAGTATCTAAAGGATTCGAATATGGTAATACTTTTAATCCAATTTAATCACAATATCCAATAATTTTATCAGCATCCCCCTAGTAAATATTTTGACCATTATTTAGAATTATCACTCTATTGAAAAGTGAGGAGATATCAAAACTTGGTTAATGTATAGTAAAAACAATTGTTCTTTAATATTTCAATGCAATCTTCTTCAAAATGTTCATACAAATAAATGCAGTATATGAGTCTAATCCTGAAGTTGGTTCATCTAATATAATAACTGGAGGATCACTAACTAATTCTACACCTATTGCTGTTCGTTTCTTTTCACCTCCAGATATTCCTTTTAGCATTCTATCTCCTATATAAGTATCTTTACACAAATGTAAATTTAGATCTTTTATAAGTTCATTTACTCTAGATATTTTATTCAAATAAGTTCCTTTTAATCTTAATGAGGCTGAAAATAATAATGTTTCTTTCACTGTGAGAGTTGCCATTAATAAATCATCTTACATTACAAAGGCTCCAAAATCTGTAAACTTTTCATATTCCTCATTATTTGCTAAAAATGTTCCACTAACACTTATATTATTATTTCCTTTATATCTTTTGCTTAGTAATGCAACTAAGGTTGTTTTTCCAGCTCCTGATGGACCAAGAATTGCAGTCAGTTACCCTCTTAATGCATATCCTGTTACATTATTTAATATATATTTTGTATTTGATTCTTTTTCTAAAAGATTCTCAGATTCTCTAACTTTAGTTTTTTTCTTAATTTCCTAACTCTAATTTTTTTAACAATTCAATTTACCAATGTCACAGTTACGTTATTCCATTTTAAATCAATCACTTATGTATTAGAAACACTTTCAGATCTTATTGGAAGAGTAATTAAGCATTCTTTTTAATTTTTATCTTTCATATATTTAGTTTAATTTAATATTACATCAGAATAAATATAAACCATTAATTTATTAATTATATTAATCAATTTTGACTTATATACCTAAATCACTAAAAAAACTAAATATTACTTTAAATATCTAATCATAAAATTATATTACTTGGATTTTTAATATATGATTAATTCAATATTTTTAATTAGAAAAATTCAAACAAGTATGAAATATCTCCTTTTCTTTAATAATTCTAATTATTTTTACCAATAAATCAAAAATCAAAAAATTTCCATATCTTTGAGCAACTAAATAAAAAAATTTTAAATATTATTTTTTAAATTATGAAAAATTGATCAAATTGATCAGGAAATAAATTTTGAAAATTTAACTAAATGGAATACATGTAATTTTAAACAAACAACTATCGTCTTTTAAAAAGAGATCTCAAAATTTTGTTATTCAATAATTATTTTAAATGGAAACTATCAGCTGAATAAGCAAATAATGATGTTTGCTTAATTTTTTTATAAAATGCAAAGCTTGGGAAATAAAACCGTCCAAACCATTATAATTTAAAGACTATCCTTTATTTTAATTCTTTGAATCTAATAAAAAAAATATCAGAAAATTAATAAAGAAAAGAAATAATCCAATCAGTTTGTAAAGTTAAGTTTCTTTTATTAATGATTTATAATTGAGGCTATTATAATAATAAATAAGAACAAAATGTAAGAATTTCGATTATGAATGTATTAATTACAAAAAAAATAAACGGTATTAGTGAAAAAGAAAATTTTAGTAGTTTACAATAAGTTTATCAACAAAAAAGATGAATATACTCCTATTGAATCTAGAATAATAAATTAATTATAGTTTACTTTGAATAAATTTAACCTCAGAACAAGCCAATAGGATCCTTTCCTCAAAAATTTAGATTTTAACAGGATTAATACAAAGAATTATAGAAACTAAAATTCAATTTATTTAATTCAATATTTTTAAAGAGGATTTTCCATATATTAAGATTATTTTGATTCCTTAATAATTGGATTGAGATTAAAAATATGTATTATTTTACATTATTTTTCAAAATTTTAATAGATTGATACTAATAAAAGAAATGTTACTTTTTTTAAATAGAAAAAAAATATTTTAAAAATAAGTATTTCTATAGATGTCAGAAGTTAGAATAATTATAAATTAAGTAAAAAAAATAAGTCCCCAAATAATGTTTTATAATTTTTATAAATAAATCTCATTAAAGAGATAGGAAGATATAATTATTATTTTTTAGTTTCAAATTCAAGTATAAATTTAGAGAAAAGCATTTAAAGAAGTGAAAAAAGTTGAATTATAAAATAAATAATAGAAATGCATAATTGATTTTATAATACAATTAATTGATATCTTTGAAATAAGATTACATATGGACACTTGAAGTCTCATTAAGCAAATTAGAATTCGATTCATTTATATTGTCATAATATAATTCAAATAAAAACGGATTAATAATATATTTAATATTCATAATGAAGTTTTCGATTGTACTTCCAATTGTTCTTATAATTGGTAGTTTAGCTGCTGATTTTGATTAATAGGTAGAAGAGTTATAGAACTCTAACTTTGGTTAAACAATATTACAAACCATTTTGATGGAATTGCAAACTGGAGATCCTGTAGTCTCTAATCTTATAAATATGGTTTAAGGTTTAGAAACAACACTTGAGAATGAATAGGAAAGAGATGATAAAAGGATAGCTAGAATTTCATAAAATTGTGACATTGATATAAATACTTTGAAAGATCAAATAAATTAAAATACTGTCAATTCTTTAACACTTAAAAGCGAATTGGACAGTTTGAATCCATAAAAAGTATCAGCAGTAGCTAGTTTGGAAAGAAAAAATAATGAAATAAATGATCTTAAAGCAGAACTAAATTATTAAACTCATAAAAGAGAGACAGAAACAATTACTTATTAAGTAATTTTAGATAATTTGGAATAAGCATTATTTGGTGTGAATTAAGTGAAAGGATATTTCAATAGTTATTTAGATGTACTTGTCAAAAATAGAAAAAGATTTGACAAACCTGAATCATCTTTCTTATAAGAAAAATACAGTTTCAAATATGATTAATCTGAAATTGAAGATTTTGAAGATTAAGGCTAATAATTTACATCTTTTACTTAAGTAGCAGCTAAAGTGAATAAATTAAAGCATCATGTTAATAACAACATTATTCTAGGTACATTTAGAAGGGTACAGAGCAATGCTTGAAATGATGAGTCGTTTAGCTGCCAAAGCATAAGATGAACCATCATAAGCAGAAGTCTTAACTAGAAAAGTCTTATCTATTCTCAAATAAATTGAAAATTATATATAATCTGAAAGAATTAGAGAAGATTAAGCAGAAGCACTTAGATCTGGTAATTTTGAACTTCTTTAAACTCTTTTGTCAGATTAATTAGTTTAAGCTAGTTAAGATCGTACATATATGGAAGGTTCTTTAATTATTTTTTTTTAGGACTTGTTGAATCATTATCAACAAGAATTTAATAAGCATCTAATGAAAAATTTGAAGTTGATTCAAGAATTGTTGCAAAAACTAGAGAATTAGAAAATAGAGAAACTGATTGCAGACTTAAAAAAAATGAATATGATACTGATACAGCCAACAGGTAAAAATTTTAAATTACTTTAAGGATTAAGTAAAAGAGAGCTGTTGCAGTTGCAGTTGATCTAATCTCATCTAAGTTAGGATAACTTAAGAGAAAATTGCTTTCTAATTGATTTCATTATGACACGATTAATAATAGATTATTTTATATCATATGGTCAATCATTTATTTGTCTTAATATTAAATTTGATACATTCAATATTTTAGTTGAGTATTATTCTTGAAATACTCTCAATTTTATGAGTTAATATTCTCAAAACACTATTCTAACAAATATCTTTCCATTTCTCAAAATTGCTTAATTCAGATTAAATAAATTATGAATTTTTTATATAATTTGTTATATTTACTTTCTTATAAGAAAAAATAGACTTTTTAATAAAATCAAACAGGCCTATCAAAAGTAGTTGGATCCTTTAACCAAGTGATAAATTTACTGAAGAAGTCTGATTATTTTTTAAAATTTTAGCTAAGTTTACTGATATCAGGAGGCTGTTTTTAAATAAGTCCAAAATTGCATTAAAATTCTAACTATAATATTATTTTTTATATCTTACAATTTAAATGAATTAATTGATCATTTATTAACATTAATTATAAGATTCTTTTATAATTTTCTTATCAGATTTTAATAGGGTAGTTTCTAATATTTTATTTAGATAATTGCTTTCTACATTAATAATTTCATCAACAGATTTTGCATTTTAAAGCTGCTATTTAAAATCATTCCAAGTTGATTCTAAGACATCATAAAATATATAATTTTAATATATGTCAATAAAAGTTTACATTTAATAACGTAGCATTCCATAACTATTAGCTATTTTAGGATCTTTTATAAATTATATATATTTCCAATTTCTTCTTAAATTGTGTGAACAGTATCTTAATTTAATTATTTAGTCAAAAAATATTAAAATTTATTACAGAATTGAGTTTGTAAAACAAGCTTTAAGCAATTATGCTTTTGATTCTATCTTTATTTAAAGTTATTCAGAGATTTAACATTCATAAAATCCTTATCTTTCTCTTGCAAGCTTACTTTTGCTTTTAAGTTTTGGGAAAATATCAAGTTCTGCCAATTAATTAGGAACAAAATTATTTTCATTGTCAATTAATGAGAATACATTTTAATCAACAAAATCTCCATCACTAGTGAAATAGTATTTTTTGATATTATTCCATAATTATATAAAGTTCAATTATTCAAATAATAAAAAATGAATCGACTTATTTACCAACTAATTATGTAATCTAGCATGCATCCCAATACAAACTTCTAATTATAATTAAAAAGAATATTGTGAATTATCTTATAATTCTTCCTCTAACTTTTCTATTCTATTCTCTAATTTCAATTAAAGTTTTTTTTCATCGTTAATTTACTTCTCAACAAATTCTTCTATTATATTGTCATTAGTAATTTCTTAATTTAAATTTTCTGTTAATTATTTTTCCTCCTAACTTTTTTAAGTCTCTTCTATCAAACTATCTACTGCTTTTTTTGTTATAAGTTATATTGGAGTAGGATTATTTTCAATTGAAATTTCTTTATTTTTCTTTACATCTTAAATATTAATACCTAATTCTGCAAGTTGCATCAATAATTGTTCTTTTTCTTTTAAAAGTTTTTTCTTTTCATTTAATTCTTATTCTAATTGAAGATTCCTTTCTTCTTAATTTTCTATTAATTTATTATATTTTCTATTAATTCTATTTACTTCGATTTGCATTAACAATTCATTTTGTTGATTTTTTTATGATGCTTATTTTGCTTACTAAGATTCAAGATATTTTTATTATTATATTCTAACTTACATTTAAATTCTTTGAAATTCTATTTTTCTTTTTATTTAATCTTATTGTTCTTTTTAATATATAAAAATCTTATATTTTCTTATTATTTCTTTTAAACTTTAATCTTTCGATTTATACATGTTTTAAATATTCTAATTCTTTTATTTTAAGTTTTATTACAAGTACAATTCTGATATTTAACAAATACTTAAAATTTCCTCAACATGTTAAATTTTTAATACTTTTAATTATGTAATTAAAGCAAGACTTTAGACAGTATTTGCATATGTTGATGAAAATTATGATGGAAAATGTGAAGGAATTTATAATTCTATATCCTAACTATTAATTCCCTTAGCAAAAATATCTAATTAAAAATTATTTAATTCATAAAATGCTTTGACAAGAAATTCATCTCTTTAATTGATCTATATTATTTTATCATAAAGTCCTTTATTTACCAAATTACAATCATCTGCTGTAAATATATCAAAAATAATTGTGATTTGTTTATGTAAATGTTTTGTATAAATATAAAAATGCAGGATAGTCATATTTTCATCTAATATAGAAATTTAAAGTATTTTTTATTCAATTTCATCAACAAATGATTATAATATTGTGTTGATTTTACTTCTCAAAATTGTATTGGAAGGTTTTAATAAATAAAATCGTAATTTTTGAATATAATTGGCAAGATCAATAAGTTTATGTGTTATTTATTAAAGACAAGTCATATCTTCTACATAAATAGTTTATTACTAAATATATGATAATTAATCAATATCAAACACAAAATATTCATTTTAAAAACCCTAAATAAGTTTGATTAAATACTAATATCATCTAAATTACAAATTATATATATTGTTTCTACGTGATAATTAACAACCCTTAAGATTTTAATTAAGAAATACACTCATATTTTTACTTGATTTAAATTGGCTGCAATTCAACTGCTTAATTGTTAATTTGTTCATTGCCTAAATTAAAGAATTTAATACATAAATCTTCCCAATATTTAGGTCTTTTTATTTGACTACCCTACAAAAGTTCGAAAAAGCTTAATTCTTTTTGAATAATAGTTTCGCTTTCTTAAGTTAATTAAGGATTTGGAATCACTTTTGATTCCGTCAATGGTCTATAAGTCAAGAAAGATGAAATTGACATATTATCACTCAATCTTGGAATTTCAAAGTTTAATTCAAAAGGTTTATTTGATGGTTACAAATGTGTCATGGACCCTAATAAATTTTATTGATCTTATGGTTTATTCAACTAAAAGACTTCTGGAACCTCTGATTTTGAATCCCACGAAAAAGTTTGATAAGGATGGAATTGTTCACAGGAGATTGATTACATGAAGTGACCGCCTTTTTTTATAGTTTCCTCATAATTCAAAAACCCACTCTTAATATGCCTCTTTTTTTCTGCTTTAATCAGTTACACACTTACTTACTTGGTCTAAGCAATTGTAATTCATCAACATCCACCATTGTATTAATAGATAACATTCAATTTAAATAATATAAATCAAAAAGTTGAGAAATTGTCTGCTTGACTAACCCTCCATTTCTTTGGGAAATACCATTGTTTTAAGGTTTCATCATCACTTCCTGTCAAGAGTAATGATTTATCTTCATTCCAAATAATCATGTTAACTCCTTTAGAATGAGCCTTAAATACATCTAATTATGATACTATCCTTACAAAATGGCTATAAATCTTATACATTCCAAATCGAAATTGTTCCATCTTCATTTCCTATAAATATTTCTCCTCTTTTTTTAGACCATTCAAAACATAAGCTCTATTTTATATATTTTGATTACCTTATTTTTTACCTCAACATTAGTTTTTATTTATGCAAAACCATTCTAAAGTCCTTTTGCGAAATCAAATATTATAATATGACTTGGATCATAATTTAATGCCATTAAATAATTTCTCTCATTATCTATCAATAATTATTTAATTTGAGGAGTGTGAGTTTAAACTTTGAGTCCTATTTTTACAAAAGGCACTTAACATATATATATTTCACCAATGTCATTAGCTATAACTATAATGTTTCTTATAGAATTATAAATTATGTTTGTTAAATCATGTTACCCAACTGTTATTTCTTAAAACTCATTTATTTTTTTAGTATTTTGTATTTTTAAAAAATTACTTGTAATAGCATGAATTTCTCTTTAAACTAAAACACATCCTGATATTTTAGTTTATGAAATCTAAAATTACTCTTCCATATCGATTGTATATTTGTCATCCAATCTATAATAATAAACCAATCCTGATGAAAGCCTATTTTAATCAAATTATTTATTTGTACCCTACAACAAAAGAGTTTTCACTATTATTAAAGTTCATACAAATCAAGGTTTTGAAATATTCTTTAGAAAATAGTTTTTGCTTAAAATTCTGACTAAAGCAAACAACTGTACTTATAGGAGATTTTTTTGTTGAATCTAACATATTATTCATATAAGTATCTATTCTTGTAAGAATACTAGAATCATGGAGTAATAATAAAGTAATATTATCATTTTCATGTATATCTTTCAAACACATATTTAAAATCCTGATTTAAGTTTAAACTGGATGTAAAAATTCATCATATTGATCAAGCTTTTTAGGAAAAAAAGTTTACTATTAAAAAATCTCTAATAATTGTTGAATTCATTATTTCCATTCTACTTTACAATTAATTTAGATAATCATTTAGTTATTACATTCTGAATTCGATCTCACTTCTATTTAGATGAAATAACTATTTTTTTGGAAATTACGGTAGATCATTATACATTTCAATCAATTTATTATGGATTAGTTCTATCTCAGAATATCTATTATGTAAGTATAATTATCTTACCTTTTATATATTTGCCATCTTTTCTTGCTGCATTCTACAGTTATTATATATTTTATGATAGATTTTTCCTAAATGAATGAACCAACTTAAATTTTTATTTCTTGGCTATTTTTATTTGACATGCTTGTCTGCAATAAATAAAAACTTTTATTATTAAATTTTAAATAATATGCATTTTTCATTTAGATGTTGAACAAATTATCAAATAATGAAAATAACATAAATAAGATTATTATAGATTAGTGGTTTTTTATTTATTAAAAGGGTTCCATCATGAATTCTTATTAATATATTTAAATTCTTTTTTAAAATCACAAAACTTATTTTTTTAAAATTAAAACGAGCTTATTCATTCTAAATTAATGTTACGCAGTTAAGCTCAAAACAATTTTGATGGATAGATAAAAATTTTTTTTGAAGATCTGAGTGAATTATAAAAAAATTTCAATTATATTTTATTTAAAATATGAGATAATAAAAGAGTTCTTTAATTTAATTGCTTTGCAAGTGTCTAAAGTTTAGAAAAACAAAATCTTAAAGTTATGAATAGATTAAGAATCCTATTAATATTCCTCAATAGACTGAAAGATCTAAAGTAATATTGTGATTATATAAGGGGAGAAAAACTTTAGTAATTGATTTGGATGAAACTTTGGTTCATAGTTCATTTGAACCAATGAAAATTAACGATTTGATCGTTGAAGTAAGTATAAAATTAACAAGGTTTCAATGAATGATTAGAAATATAAAATATATGTTAACATAAGACCAGGTGCACAAGAGTTTTTACTAGAAACTTCAAAATATTTTGAGATTATAATTTTCACAGCAAGCATAAGTGAATATGCGAATTCTGTTATTGATTTTTTAGATCCTCTTGGTTTAGTTGATTTAAGATTATTTAGAGAAAACTGCACAATATATAACAATATTCTTGTTAAGGATCTTTCATTATTAAAAAGAAATTTAGATTCAGTAATATTAATAGATGTATATTAATTATTATTATGTATAGAATTCAGTTAATTCTTTCATGTTTTAACCTATGAATGCTATACATATTTTAAACTATTTTGAAGATAAATCAGATTAAGAATTAACTCTATTAATTCCATTTTTAAAACTTCTTTCCTAAGTATTAATTAAATATATAAATAGTTTCAAGATGTTAGACCTGTTCATGAATGGTTGTTTAAGTATGCACATTTTGATAAGTTTGAATATGTTGATTAAACAGGCACTAAATAATTATTCTACGATTTGCCTACAAGTTCAGATACTTAAAGAGATAAATTATTAAGCCCAGCTGATACACCAAAATTAGAAGAACAAAAAATACTTATAAAAACTGGAAATTTAAATTTGAAAAGTTAATAATTAAAAGAAGATGAAATAAATGATGAATTAGAAGAAAAATAAAATGAATCAATATAAGCTGATAAATGTACAGAAACACCAAATAGAAGTGAAACCATCAATGAAAAATTATGTGTTTTAAGGGATAATTTAAACATTAATTCACCTAACTCTGTAGGAAAATAAATCTAATTTCCATAAAACTAATGAAAAATAAATGAATGTCTACATTTGTTTTTGATAAAACGATAATACATATTTATTTATATAGATTTATTAAAATCTTTTTAAAATTAATTTTGCATTAAAATTAACATACATAATTGAATTTAGAGGTAGAATATAAAATATCTTTAAGCATCTGCACTTTAATCTTTCTTTTATTATCAAGGTTTTTCATTTTTCTAATTATTTATAAACTCTTTAAATTTTTATCTAAATAATCTTACTCATTCTAAATTTAAAAGAATTGAAGCATGATTAGAAGTTTCAATTTTTCTTATAAATTTATTTATTATTATTTAAAAATAGAAAATTATTTAACAATTTAAATAAGATTTTATCAATCTATGTGAATATTGCTTATATTTTGAATAACTATTTACACATTTAACAAAATTTAGATTAATTTTTACAAAAAACTGATTATTTTCGAAGTATTTAAAAAAACAATTATTAATATTATATTATTGTTTTTTCTAACATATTTATAATTATTTTTCATACTTAATATGATTATATACATCAGATACAACAAGAGTTTAAAGTATTTTAATTTGATTTTATTGATAAAGATGACTTCGATTATGGGTTATCTACTTGAATTTCATTCATCATTAATATTTGATATATATCTAAATTACAAATTAATAGAAATTTACTGGAAATCATTTCTTTTAAAATATCTTCAATTTTTTCTCCACTTGCTGCACTGCATTCTTCAAACAACAATTAATTAACTTAAGCAAAGCTTTGACCTGATGATCGATTTACTTCTCTTAGATATTATAAATCAGTTTTATTTCCAACTAAATACAGAACACAATTTTGATCTAAATACTATTTACACATTTTAAGCCAAACCTAAAGTCATATTATCTCATTACTTATATCTGATCAAAACTGTCTTTTTTTGTGATATCATAAAGTAAAAATACTCCTGCGGCATTTTTAAAATAACCTGAGGTCATACTTAAAAACTTTTCTTAGCCTGCAGTGTCCCATAATTATAATCGAAATAGATGAGATTCAACTATCACATCTCTAATTCCAAATTCTATTCCAATTGTTGAATGAGACTCTATATCAAATTAATTTCTGCAAATTTTTGATATAAAATTTGTTTTTCCTGTTCCACATGAACCTAGCAAAATAATTTTTATTTAATAATCCCATTTTTTATCTTAAATTTCATTATTCATTTTAATTTTTAAAACATGAATACAATTATTTGATTAAAAATATAAGAAAATGAATAAGCTTCTAATACAAGTACCCAAAGAATTAAAATCATAATTAAAATTGATTAATGTATTATTGTATATTGTATATGTAATTTTCAAGCTCTATTTGGATAAAGGAACACTCTAAGGGTTGATCCAATTGCTCTTGGAGGAAGATTTCTACCAAAACGAGCAGTAACTACTCCATTGCTACCGTGGGATTTGCTAATACGTCCCCAGATTGTCTGAATGTATATAATTCATACTCTAAATTTAGTGTTATTCTTTAATGAATGGGCCTTGTAAATATATGCAACTCTTTTTCCCCAATAGAATCTGCTTGATTCAACATCATTAACATGTTGAATTTTGAGTAATGCTTAGTTTTCATTTTATTAAACTTTTGATCTTCTAAACCCTGTAAATACAGCCTTAACCCATAGTCTAATTTAAATGCTATATTCTACCTAACAGGTGCACTTTTGTTTGTTGTTTTAACTTTTTATACAGTCTTTGTGGCTCCTTTCTATTATTCAGCCTATCCCTTCATTAATTAAAATCTTTGTTATTTTTTTATTTAAAAATTAAAACAATCGTACTCATTAATATATTATATACTTAGGCCTTTTAAATCTCAAGTTTTTATTTTTCTCAAATAGAAGATTTCCTATCACAAAATGATAAATTTCATTTGTTTTTTATTTAAATAGAATATTAGATGTTTATAATTTAAATCATAATTATTAACCATTTGTGCTAATTTTTATAATAAATACCTTCAAATCATATCTTAATTTTTTATATCAATTATTTCTTGAATTTTCAATATTAAACCAAAATGTTCATATTAAATTTAAATTAAATATTTATTTTGATGAAATGAAAACATTAAGTCCCAAAAAAATCTAATTCTTAAATTTTAATTAATCACTTAGAACTCGCACTCATGTTGATAATTGAAATAAATAATTCTTGTAAATAGTAATTATTATTTGTATTTTAATTATTATGTGGAAATGATTAAGTTGATAATATATAAAATTAAAAAAAAATCACTCCTGAGACCTCCAGGATTTGAAGCCCTGACGAAGTATCATTTTATGTTCTTTATTTATTCATAAATTTAATAATTATATTAATATTTATGGAATTTGGATATATATATAATTTACTATTAAATTTATGATATAAATTTTTATTAAAATTGAATATACAACAATCATATATTTACTTTTTTATGAATTACATTTATTTAGTATAGTATTTTTTATGAATATAATATTAAATCATTTACTTTAACTCACATACATAGCATCCAAATCAGCTTTTATGGAATTGTATTCAGATAAGAGTTTATGATAATCTTTATTTATTGTTATAAATTTCTTTTTCCAAGTATTATCTTCTTAACTTTCTTGTTATAGTTCTTTTTCTTAATTATATATAACCTAGTTTAATTATTCTATTCTTAAATCTCTTTCTCTTAATAAAATTTCAAAAAGCGAATTATCTTTTTGAACTCTATCTAAACGTTCAAGAGTTTCTTAATTTAAATTCTCAAATTATTTAATTCTATTCTACATTTCACTTTAAACTTATTCTCGAAATTCATCAAATTGAATTTTCTTTTAATTCAATGTATTTTAAAATTGATGCATTTCCTTTTTCTATTCTTAAATTTCTTATTTTTATTAATCGATTTAAAACTATAATTTCTTACATTTTCCACATTCTTAATTTTCTGCATTAATTTTAGCATGTTCATTTTGCTTTTTTAATTAAAGTAATTCAGTTGCTTACTTTTTACATAATTATTCTAACATTTAATATTTACTAATTAAGTTTTGATATTCAAATTAAAGCCTGATTATATCTTTAGGATTTTGTATTGACATATAATTATTCGTTAAATAAATAAATTAAATTTTATAATTTAGATTATTTTTCTAATTTTAGAACCCTCACTAAATTAATCAAATATTCCTTAATGTTGTAAATAATAGAAGGCTTTTCCATTTTTGTAAAGAATCACTATATAAAAAGGAGAATTTGATTTATTAAGATTATTGATGGCCTCGAAAAACCCTATATATTTATACTATTAGGAACCTAAATATTTCAATCAAGAAAAAAATAATTTTATACATTAAAAAAAAATTTTAGTAATTACTTAAAATAAAGGTTGTGACATATTTTAAAATTTTATAAATAATACACATAATTATTCTTAAAAATTAAATTGACAGACCTCAAATTTTTGTACAAATTTTTGTAGGTAATTTATTAAAATTGTTATTTCTATAAATAGTAAATCGTCTGAGGTCTTTCTTTAAACAAATAAAATAGAATAGATTATTNCAACAATCATATATTTACTTTTTTATGAATTACATTTATTTAGTATAGTATTTTTTATGAATATAATATTAAATCATTTACTTTAACTCACATACATAGCATCCAAATCAGCTTTTATGGAATTGTATTCAGATAAGAGTTTATGATAATCTTTATTTATTGTTATAAATTTCTTTTTCCAAGTATTATCTTCTTAACTTTCTTGTTATAGTTCTTTTTCTTAATTATATATAACCTAGTTTAATTATTCTATTCTTAAATCTCTTTCTCTTAATAAAATTTCAAAAAGCGAATTATCTTTTTGAACTCTATCTAAACGTTCAAGAGTTTCTTAATTTAAATTCTCAAATTATTTAATTCTATTCTACATTTCACTTTAAACTTATTCTCGAAATTCATCAAATTGAATTTTCTTTTAATTCAATGTATTTTAAAATTGATGCATTTCCTTTTTCTATTCTTAAATTTCTTATTTTTATTAATCGATTTAAAACTATAATTTCTTACATTTTCCACATTCTTAATTTTCTGCATTAATTTTAGCATGTTCATTTTGCTTTTTTAATTAAAGTAATTCAGTTGCTTACTTTTTACATAATTATTCTAACATTTAATATTTACTAATTAAGTTTTGATATTCAAATTAAAGCCTGATTATATCTTTAGGATTTTGTATTGACATATAATTATTCGTTAAATAAATAAATTAAATTTTATAATTTAGATTATTTTTCTAATTTTAGAACCCTCACTAAATTAATCAAATATTCCTTAATGTTGTAAATAATAGAAGGCTTTTCCATTTTTGTAAAGAATCACTATATAAAAAGGAGAATTTGATTTATTAAGATTATTGATGGCCTCGAAAAACCCTATATATTTATACTATTAGGAACCTAAATATTTCAATCAAGAAAAAAATAATTTTATACATTAAAAAAAAATTTTAGTAATTACTTAAAATAAAGGTTGTGACATATTTTAAAATTTTATAAATAATACACATAATTATTCTTAAAAATTAAATTGACAGACCTCAAATTTTTGTACAAATTTTTGTAGGTAATTTATTAAAATTGTTATTTCTATAAATAGTAAATCGTCTGAGGTCTTTCTTTAAACAAATAAAATAGAATAGATTATTGAAATGTGATGTATTGATTAAATACTGATTTAGTTGACAAAGTTTAAATTTATTAAAGTAAGTGGCTAATTTAAGTAATAATATAATTCATAAAAGTTTATTCAAATCATTTATCTTCATATAATATATGGTAAAAAATGAGATTTATAATAATAATAATAATAAAAAAATAAAAACAGATCAAATAAGTTCTTCATTTTCTTAAATTTATTGCTGCTACTACTAATATTATTACTTGTAGATTTCATTTTTATTTTAAACTAATACTAATTTGTTCAGTATTATTTCTGTTTATTATCTTAATTTGCTTAAATATTACAAGACTTATGACTTTTTTGTGAATTCTTCAATTGTTAGTTGATTTTATTTCTGCTTTATATCTAATATGATATTTTTTAATAATATCATTAACTAATCATAATTATCTGATATTTTATTAATCTTTTAATTTTATTCCAAAATTATTCTTTACAAGATAATCTCTCTCTTTTTAATAATTGGATTACTTTCATTTTCTAAAATTAGTTTTTATTTTTTAATTTTATCTTTTGGTTTTTTGTTATCCTTTTATTTTAAAAATGATTACACTTTAAGAATATTCAATGGACTATATTATTAAAATTATTGATTTTCGATAAGGGTATTTTATTATAAATTTTACTTGTATTATTATAATTCCTATTTTAACAATTCATTTTAAATTTACAATTATTTCAATTCATTTTGATCTTTATAAGTACTCTATTATTATTTTAATTCATTAATTTATTTCCAAAGTAATTCATTTTACTCTTTTAACTATATTTATTCAGTATATTCTGATTCATCGAACTACCTAATTAAAGGTATATGATTCTCTTCTTCTAATGTTTCTAATTATTCACAATCTTCTTATTAATCAACTTGAATAAATTATTGAGTTTTTAATTACTCATCTTATTCCTTAATTTTTAATTATAAAGAATCAATAATTTAATTTTAATCCTTTATTTTTTTATTCAAATCTTCTATAATAGTATCGTTAATATTTTTGACATTTTATGCTAAAGATTCTCTCTTGCTTCTGATTTTTTCTTTCTAAGAAGTAATTTGTTATAGTTATTCTTTGAGAGAAGTGTTTTCAAGTTCTAATTAAAATATTTATTCTTGCTCTATTATTTTTTTTTTTTCACTTTGTTCTTATCTCTATTTCATTAGAAGCAAACTATCATATTTTGACTACAAGATTTCATACTATATTCTTAACTTTTAAATTGATTTACTTTAAATCATCACTACTCTGAAGTGAATTGTTGTAAATTGATTTTCTTACAGTTTTTTATTTTAATTGTTCTTCTTATTGTTTCTATAATACTAACTATTCTTCTAAATTTAATTTTTCAGAATTCAATTTATTCAACTCTAATTTTTTTTGCTTTAGTTCATTTTATAAGTTTTCTATTTGATTAGATTAAGACAAACTTGTCTCTTAATAATTTAATAGACAATTAACTATTATTGAAAATATTGATACTTAATTATTAAACTTTTACATCTTTAGAATTTATTGCATTAAGGTTTCCTGAGACTAATTAAGTAAGAGTTTCCCATTCTTATAATTATTCTTTTATTTTAACAAATTCCTCTTTCTTTTAAAAGGTATCTCTTTAATTAGCTACTCTAAATGATAATAAAAATCTTTACTATAATTAATGAATTTATTATTTTAATTAAGTATTTTCGGTAAGCAATTATTAAGTATTATTCTCATTGAAACTTCTTATTTAATTTTATAATTCAACTTATTCTAATTAAGTTGTTAACTATTAAATTTAATCTGTCAAGTCTTGTTCATTTTACATATATTTATTTAACTTATTTTAATCATATTCTTGTCTCTGTGATAATTCTTTGACTTAATTGAATGTGATTTCATATTTTTATCTATAATAATAAAATCTTTTTCATCAATACTTTTCTTAATTTAATGCTTCCTATAATTCATTTTTTTCTTTCTCTAATACCTAAATCTTTTACTTATAAATTTCTTGAGCTTATTATAAATTTATAATATTATCCTCCAAAAACTATTAATCTTTCATTTATTCTTTTAACTAATCGATCTCATATCTAAATAAAAATTATGTTTACTGGTTTTCATCAAGCAATTTAGCAGATTCAGTAACAATTTAGTCATTAGATTCTTTAAGGTTTCTTAGAGAAAATTAACCTATTATATTTACTTATTTTCATCAAAAATTATATGATATTCATGCTTTAATTATTTATTAAGTTCAACTAACTCATTTATATATAACCTAGGATATAGTTTTAATTTTACTTTAATTATTCATTTTCTCTTAATATTTCTTCATTATCAGATGAATTTACAACAACAGTAGAAGGCTTTAAATTTAATTTTTAAATTTCATCCTATTATTGCTAAATTTCTTCTAAGTATAGTTTATTTTTATTTTCAAGTAAATTATTTTTGTCTTCTAAATCTTTAATTTTTTCTTCTAAATCTTCTTAATTTTGTCTTTACTCTTTTAATTGTTCACACTATTTTCTATGATTAGAAGATATTTATATATAAATTACTTTAATCTTTCAAATTGATCAATTTAATGAACTTATGTGGATAATTATTATTCTAATTTAAAGATTTAATTTTTATAACTTTAATTATCATTTTATAATGATTCCAATTTTACATTTTCATCTTCTAATGTTTTAATCTTCTGTTAATGTATTTCAATTTAATTACTTTTTTTTAAATAAAATTGTATTACTTTAATTGAGAATATAGTTCTTGTTTATTTTCTTGTACTTGATCTGATTTATTTAGATTAGTAATATTTTCGATTTCAATCTATAAAGTATTAATTTCTTATTTTAATTTGAGTATGAATTGTTGCTCATTTATTAATTGAGTTTTAAGAGTATTAATTTCATTTCTTTTATAATTAAAACTATTACTCTTGATTTGAAATTAATTGATTTGTTTGTTAGGTTTATAATTCTTTTGAATTACTTAGATTGATTTCTTTATCTGTTTCTAAATGTTAATTTTTTGATTTCAATAACTACAATTCATCTTATAATTTGCAAATCAATCTAATATACATAAGATAATAATTACTTCATAGAATCAGACTCTGTATAGCCATCTTTAAGTTATGAGATTTGTAAATTGAGTTTAGAGATAGTTTGATCTCTTTCATGGATTTCACTTTAATAATATTCTTCATTGTCTTATGCATCTTACTTAGATCTGTAGATTATGAAAATAAAAGAGATTACTAAGTTAATTCTGATTAAAGTAAAAGAACTTGGTCTTAAAGAGTTTAAATCTGATCTTGTAATTGTTAGATTTAACTCATTAGTTAATGAAATAAAATAAATTAAAAAAAGAGAGAAAAAAAGTAGATTGATAGAACTGTAATAAACTTTGATTGATATTATTTTGTAATAGATCATGCTCCTTTGAGTTATGATTTAACATAATCTTAGAATCTTGGTTAGTTGAGCAATTCTAAGGCTTAGTTAGCAGCATTGATTTCTTTATTATATTCAGCAACGGTGGCATTATAGACATCAGTGGCAAAAGCATAGTCATCATTTTCAGCTTATAATTATCCATTAAGGGTTGCTAGATCAGCATCAAGTTCATCGATAAGGTCAAGAGTTTATTCAATCTTGGCTAAATTGATTAGAAATTGTGATAATACTAGCATTAGCTTCAATTTCAGCATTTTTAACAACAACTGCTCTTTAGAATTCAGCGTGTTCTTGGTTTAATTAAATTACTTAAGCATTGAAATCAGCAACAGCTTCAGCTTCATCAGCTGTAATTTAATTAAGTGAATCAACCATTTCAACTCTCAAATTATTAAAAGCAACAATAATCTATCATTTATTTTTTAGAATTACATCTCTAAGTGCACCTTAATCAGCAAAATTTGATTCAACTGTTATTTCTAAAAGAACTTTTACGAAAATTTAGAATTAACTGTGTTTTTTCAATGAGTTTTATATTTTGTTAAGATTCTTTTAAACTTTTTTTATTTAAGCAAGAGATGGTGCTTCCAAAGTGTTTAATAATTAAAGACATTCATCAATAGCACTTAGAACATCATTATGTTCAACAACTTAAGCTTCAAATGTTTCATGATCATTTGCTCTTTAAACTATTGATTATTCGAGGGTTTATCTATTTTAAGCAATATTTTCTTATAATTATTCAAGTTAGGCAGCAAATCTATCTCTTTATGGGATCAATACATTATCATAGAAATCATGAGCATTAAATATTTCTAAAATCATCAAAATTTATTATACCTCTTTCCTTATCTTAGATTTCTTATTCAAGTCTGTTTACTTCTCTATTATGAACATCTGTTCTTCTGTTAAATTCGTGATGTACTCCAGCTAATTCCTCTTCTAATTCACCAACCTTTAAAATTAGTTACAAATTATATTTACAAGTTTTTCAATTTCGCTATTGAGTTCAGAAAGAATACCACCTGTTTACATATGTAGTTCAGCATAGTTCAAAATAAACTTACCCCAACCAGATGTATGAATTTCAGCAAGAGCTTTTTAGTCACGATTTGTCCAAATTGATGATTAGACATTAATGGCTGTTGCACCCAACACAAACAATACACAAAGAGTTAGTTTTAACATTTATTTGTAATTATTATTGATATACATCTGATGATTATTTTCTGCTAAAAAATGTAAAAACGAATATTTATTTTCATTAGTATTATTAATTATTATTTTATTTCCTCTGTTTCATCCATTCATATTTATATCTATTTATGTCTTACTATTAAATCTAATCTACATTCTAAGTTTTTTTCATAAATTTATCTTAAATTATATTCTCCAAAATTATTTTATAAATCTTTTTTTATTCTTAAATTCAAATCCATTATCTCATCTTTTAATTCATATTAATTAAACTAAACCTAGAAATTTTGAATAATTTAATCTAATAATTCAAATTCGATACCATATTCTATTTCAAAAAATTATCAGTGTTAATCTTATTATTACATTCAGTTCATATCTTTTACAAAATATCTATAAACATATTCTTTGACTTTATTTCAAAATTTAAAGTATATCAAAACTTGGCAAAATATGAAAATTTTTCTATTTATATCTCAACTTATTTTAGGAATATTTATGAAAAATAATTCATATCGATTTATATTTTTCTATATCAAAATCTATTTAATTAATTAAATAATTATGAGAAGAGATTATTTATTAATTTTTCTTTCATTATTAAAGGATTATTTATAGTAATTGTATATCTAGTTCCAAAATTTAATAGATGATTATGCAAAATAAAATTATTGTTAAAAGGAAGCTATTTCATTGAAAGAGTAAATGTTAATCCTTTATGATACTGATAAGTTTAAAGATTTTTATATTGAGTTAGTTTTATTTTACTTTATTTTTTTTCAAATTAAGAGAAGGATTTAATATGAAACCATAATTGGATTGTTTCAATTATTATTGTTTAAAAATTTAAAAATTTTCTATTCTTCTAAATTTAAAACTGAAGTTTTCTCTTCATGATATTTTGATTTTTAGAAGTAATAATGTATTAGAGATTTGAGAATTTCATAATTCGAATTCTTACTTTGAATTATATATCAACAAGTTGTTTGTTAGGTCAAATTGATATCTGAGCAATATATATCTGGTTTTATTTAGATTGCGAAATGAGATATTAATTGGAATAATTATTTTAAATGAATTTGCAGGCCATCAAGGAAGCAGCTTAATAAATGTATAAATATTAGATTACCTCAGCAAGGATAAGCTCACCAAATCTCCTTTAGAGTAGACATTATCCGAGGCGACATCGAACGAGAATTGGAATACTCCTACTAAATTACTCTAAGAAGTAGCTGAAGCTTCATTTGGATAGTAAAAATGTGTATTTGAATATTTTTAGTACAAGTTGCGATACAATAATGAAATTCATATGGAAACGTCTTGATTCAGATAATCGAGAATGGCGTAGGATTTTGAAGGTATGATTGTGTTTATAAAAATGCTAGACTTTAAATATGATTGAATATTTGACAAAGAATGGAGCTCCTCGTTGTGTTGGAGAATTTAGAGACAATATTTACAAAATCAGAAGTTTCTCTGATTTCTTTTTGGTTGAATAAGGTTCTGATAAAGGACTCTCAAGTATTAAAAAAGAATAAATATTAGTTCGTGATAAGACAAAACAATTAGTTGATTTATTAAGCAATGAAAAGTTGATAGAAGAAGAAAGAGAGAGTGCTAAAAAGATACGAGAACGTTTAGCAGGTAATAATTAATATATAATTTAAGCTGCTGGTGGTGTTGGAGCAATAGGAAGTAATACATCTTATTAAGGTTATGGAAGTAGTTCATATGAAAGTAATAAACCAAAAAGTTATGGATAAGAATCTAATTAATCTTAATAAACAAGTTATTGTAACTATTCATTATATATATTTAGCTACAAATTATGGTGGCCTAGAAAGTGGAGGAGGATTAGACAAATATAGAGGTTCAACTAATAATAATGTAAATAATCCCCCTATTAATAACAATAATAATAATAATAACAATAACAATAATAATAATAATAATAATAATAATGCTAATATAAGTTTTAATGGAATTTAATGGTCAGCCCCTTAATAATAGACAGTAGCAGCACCATTTTCTGAACCTGTCATGAAATTAGCTAAGCCTGGTGAAAAGTGGGATGTTCCAGGACCTAAACCATAATAACAACAGTAACCTCAATAATCTTAATAACAATAATCATAATAAAAAAATCTCTTAGATATTTTTGATGTCCCCTAATAAGTCCCATCATAATAACCATAAGTTGCATAACCATTATAACCACCTCCAACATAATAATAAAATAATTAAAATGAATGGGGATCTTTTTAAACAGCTACTCCAATCAATAATTCTATTCAATAAACTTAATAAAAAGTATAGAATAATTTATTACCTAATGATATTTTTACACCCTCAATACCACAGTAACAACCTGCTCTTTTTGGATAATAGACTCTTCCTTAATAAAACAATTAACAGCAATTTTATTAATAAACATAATAATAATTATTATATCAACAACCTTAAGCATAATAAAACTTATAAAGTTTATATCCTATGTAGTAACAATAATAATAACAATAATAATAATAACAATAATAATAATTACAATAATAGAATCTATATTAACAAACTAATTTGTACTAAAATTATCAAATTAATAATTATTAATAATAGCAATAAGTTCCAAGTTATCCAAAAACTTAAGTACCTGCATATTAATCATAAGCTAATCTTTCAGTTACAAACAATAACCAATAAAAGCAATAATAAGATGACTTTGCATTTGGTGAATTTGTCTCAGCCACTTAACCTAAAAATAACAATACTAATCAAACTGATTTATTAGGCATGCTTGATTTGAAAAAAGAAAAATAAGAATTAGAATAGAAAAAATAGATTCCAATTGCTCCTTAATAGAACATGTAACCTTAGTTGTATGCATCCTAAGCAGAATTGGATAGCTTCTAATTTAATTATCAAAATAAAGCACCAGTTTACGGACAATGTATTAATATATTTTATTCATAATAGATTAATACCAATAAAGCAGATGATTTATAATAAACATATATATGATATAATTTGATAACAATTAAACTCATCGCCCTTCAATAGCTCGTTATGAATTAATGACTAGACCTAGCACAACTTCAACATTTTCTCGAACTTTCCGAAAGACTTAACTTTTAAGAAAGCTGGACATAGTTTAGTAAACAAAGAAAAATGAGTTGATAAAATTTATGTGTTCTGCTACAAGATCTCCTTTGAATTTTGTAAGCCGAAATAAACGACAGTAATCAATTTCTTGCCAAACTGAGGAATCTATGTCAAATAGAAGAAGAACTTTACATAGTTGCAGATAATTAATAAATTCAGATAGCAATAACCCAACTTACAGAGTGAAAATAACTAATAATAACCTAAAAAATAGAAGATATTAATAGAAAGGATCTTTAGAAAGATTCAAACTCATTGAAGTACAGGATAATGATTTTTAAGATTACATGCAAAGACAGTTTAGAAAATAATATGATTGATATAAATATATATTTGTATTTTTGCTTTTTGTATATCATTCTCTTCTACGATAAAATAATACATAAGCTGCACTTGTAATTAATGTTGAATTAATAGAATCTTCTCTGATAGCATTAACTGCACTGTCATCAAAATTATACCATATATTATCGTAGTAATTTTTAGCAAAGGCTGTGTAATGACCCCCACCCAATCCTCCAAAATGATTTGATATTGCATACAGATCATAATAAATTGGATTGTTACATTCTAAATATATTATGTTTTTATACTTGGATTTTCAGGGTTTTCAGTAGTAAATTGTGATGGTAAATGATGATTTTATACGAATTCTCTAATGTCAAAATCTTAGATTGGAAAATCTATCAATGTTTCAAGTTTGCTTTTGAAAAGTTTATTTGAGTTCTTAAATCTTTTTAAATGGAATATCAATATTTTAGGTGTTTTGTAGATTTCCATAACTTTGAAAGCACGACTAATAGATTTTAAATGATAATAATATACACATGATCTTTGCATTAATTACAATACCAAGTATTTTCTTCATCTAATTATTCTGGTTGTTCAGAGAATTTCAAGCATTCTCCTAATTTCATTGATTTTTCATTAGTAGCTTGAACATTAATAGACTAAATTGTTGGTATTGGTGGTCCTAGAGGAACAAGACAAGTAGAGAAATTTTATGTTTAAGCTAATTATTCATCAGATAAATCTTCTTATTATTTTTTTGTTTCTACAACAATCTCTTATTATTATTATTATTATTATTATTCATCAGTTTATTATTTTGGTAAATCTTCAAGTTGTATTTATTTTTTTTATTATTTTAACCAATCATTATATAATTCATCAACTTAACTTGTTGATTTGAATCCTCTCTTCCAAACTACAAATACTTCAATTTCTAATTTAGGTTCTTTTTAATAGTAATTTTCGATTAAGGTGTCTTAATCATATGCACAAACACAATCATTGCATGACTTTGAATTGCAAAAAGCACAGTCAACTTACCAATTTTAATTAGATTTGAATTCTAAATAATAAATTTTATCTAATATTTATTCTTCATAATATGCTTTCCAATTTTTGCCATCATATTAGGGAAGGCCTTCAAAAGTACTTAATACTCCAACATGAATATTAAATATAAATTAATGTATATCATTATGTTTAGTTTTAGTTTTATCAAAATAAAAGTTAAATGCAGGAGTGATTTCTCTTTTCCATTGATATTAAGCATTTTGTTTAAAAGATTCATGAATCATAATACAAACTTTATTTTCTTTTTCTATATTGAGTTCAGATTGCAATGCTTTTCTAATATATAATTTTTTGTATTTTAATTTTTTTCTTAAAGTTGACATTTTTTCATTTTCATTTGTATCATCACATTAATAAGACGATGTACATATATAAACTAATTCAGATGGATTTATGTTTTATATTTTATCTTAAATTTCTGGAGTTTATAGAATTTAACCAAGTGGAGGATCTTGATTTTTATCATAAGCATAGATGAGACTCTAACAATCCCATAATAGATTAGGATCAATAAATTGAATTTCTAATTTTTTAATAGCATTTTATGGAATACTAACATTGACCATTAAATAAGGGTCAAAAGTAATAGATATTTTATTACAATTTGGACATCTTAAAGTACTCTTATATTATCCATAGAGATTATCAACAATAATGCTATCATTTCTTAATTTAAATTATTCCCATGATTCTTTGGCAACTTCAAAATCTGGTCTACCATCATAATCTTTTCTTTCAACATAAGGTTTTTATTTGATTCTACATAAATCTTCATTTAATCCATCTAATAAATATGTAATTAATTCTTGACTATCATGTTATTAGAATCCTTAAAATTACGGTTAAAATTTTCCAATAGCTCTTTTGAGTGAAAATGGAGGTATTGGTGTTTTATCAGCATACCACATTCTTCTTAAGAGATGAGCAAATTTAGAAGCTAATTCTCCTTTTGTTCCCAAAGTATTAAATTCATTAATATCTTATTTATATACATTTGATAATAAGTATTCTCTTAATGGATATGTATTACCAAGACATTAAATACCTGAATTCATAAAACATGTATTGCCTAGATTTTTTAATCCAACTTTGCCATCTAAAGATTATTCATTTCTTTAAAGTTTATCCATAGTTTCATCATCAGAATCAGTCTTTTCACATCTAGGTAAATGATAGGTTTCATCTCTTTTTTTACATTCTTCTGTACAATAACTTACTTTTTTGCATTCACATGGAAATTAAAGAACTTTAAAATTGTAACAACCTTCACATTTTCCTTCCATAGGAAAATTGGGATGTTTAATAGCCCAATTCTTTTAAATTTCTTTAAAATCTCCTAGAATAATTTAGCCTGGTGCTATTTAACAATCTTCAATAGTTTCATATTTAAGTGGATCCAAATACTCACCTTCTTTAAAATCAAAAACTATATCATCTTAAGGTCCAAGACTTTTAATTTCATCAGATATATGTTTTTCTATTTCTTAAAGAGTCTAACCTAATGGTGATTTATAAAGTCTAATTCCATCATGTTTAACGAATTGATATCCGCTACTATAAATGATTAAATGATAATTACGTACACTGTCTATAAAGTATTTGCTAACAATTCAATAAATGAAGATAATTTGTATGTTCGAGTGACATACTAGTCTCCTTTAATAAGTGATACTGATTTCGCTCCATTAAATTTCCTAAGTGAAGAAGGAAACACTACTCCAAAATTTAAAGGTACTAGATTGACATTTACTTGTTTCTTTCCATTTATTATTGTCGCATCTCGTTCAATTGCCATCACGTGGTATCTAAATAATCAAAAATATTCACACTTTCGAGCTATGATTTCCCAAGTTGCTTTATCTAAAATTTCATAATCTACTCCCTCTTAAAGATTTGGTTGCATTATCTTATTCCACATATGACTTTAAATTGGATCATACTTAAAGATTGTTGATGGTTTAGATAAAATTATATCTGAATTTACACAAGAATAATTGTTTAAAGGATGTCCTTTCTCTTCACTTTCTAACCACTCTTCCAACCATCTATTCATTTATATCTTAAATGTTATACTTCTTAGATATTATATAATAGATCATATCTTAACTTGTATGGAATTCATCAATCCCTCGTTATCTTGACTCTTTGAATTATACCAAATCACTCATTAAATTAATTAAATATCAATTATCACACTCATATATTCAATTCCTATACACATTATATTACTTACAAATTCTATTCTCTCTTTATTACTCTCTTTCTTATACATTCTAGCATCTTCCAACTTTACAATCACATTTTTAAATTAAATCTATACACTCTTTTACCCTATTCTATATGCTTTTTCTAAAATTAATATTAATCTCATCTAATTGATTTTAAACTTATAACATATTATTTTTTTGTTTAATCATTTTACAATTTCTTCCATCAAATATTTTTTATTAAATTTACACCTTTCTAAATATATTAATATATCATATTTAATCTAGATCTTTATTATTTATTTAATTTTACTGGGTTTTTTTACTGGATAATGTTACAATCTGATATATTAAGGTGAAAACATAAAAATTTCAAGGATTTTATTCTAATATATATATGTGATTATATTAATTATCCTATGAATTTAAATAAGTTTAATGTCAGGATAAGATGATCCAGATTATGAACCAGCAAATGGAAGAAAATTTACATTCAAAGAATTCAGTTAAGATGCTTTAGAATAACTGGCTATAGCTAAGAATTTTGATAAATTGTATAAATTAGCAGAAAAAGCACCCCAACATACTTTAACTTATGATAAACTTAAATTTAATGATGAAATATATAAAACAGGAGAGTCAATTTTGATAAATGTTAAAAATTATGAATTTATAGCAACAATAAAAAAAATAATTAGTATAAAATCGTAAAAAAATGATTAAGAATTACCTTTAGTGATAATTAATTTATATTGTAACAAAGATAAGATAGCTTCACAATATTAAGAATAAAAAGAATATATGGGAATGTCTGAATTATTTTTAACAGAAGAAGAACATGCAATTTTAGTAGATGCAATCTAATCAAAAGTTCTTGTGTTGAAATATGAAGATTATGAATAGTATGAATTTAAAGATGCTGTATATTTTACAAGAGCATTTTATAATACAAAAAGTGAGGAATTCTTACCAGAAATAAGCAAATGGCCAAAAGTTTGTTATTGCAAAAAACCATAAAATCCTGATTTACCATATGTATTTTGCGATATGTGTAATTAATGGATTCACTTAAAGTGTGAAGGATTGACAGAAGAGTAAGTGTAAAGCATAGAATCATTTATATGCACATATTGTAAAGGGAAATGAAGCAATAATATATTAAAATAATAAAATAATAAAATAATAAAATAAATTTCAATATATAAAACAGCAATCTTCATTAGGTTTTCTTGGTTGAGATATGCCATTTTTTTAATAAGACAAGTATTATTATTATTCTTTCTCATCCTATAAGTAGGTAGCATTCTCATTTGATCTGATAGATTATTATTAATACAAAGTGTTATTAAGGTTTTGTCCTTGTAACATTTACTAAAGTATTAGATCAATTAAAGTGAAATCTAGCTAAACTCCAGTATATTGTTATATTAATAGTCTCGTTTCTTTGACTTTCAAGAAATAGTCACGTAATTAATTATGCAGTTAATAATCATAATTTGGTTCTTGTTTATTTACTCTTTCAAAGAATTGCATGAATTGTAATACAGTAATTTCAAAAGTTGTTAGTTTGACTATTTAAGCTGATTGGCAGATCTACTTAAGTTCTGAGTAGATAGATTTAAGATCTTTATTTTGATAGAACTCGACTATATTTTAGATTGAAGGTGAAAGAGTTAGTGAATCGAAAGTAATGAGAGATGTTTTATATTATCTCTCGTCTCCATTGAATTGTTTTATGCCTTAATCAATATTCATATCAATTTAATTATTTTGTAAAATTAATTGTTTGTTAAGAACAGAATATATAATTTCAACGATACTATTTGAAATGCTTATTATTGATTCAACTTATCTTTTGTTATTAAATGAATATATAAATCCAGTCAACGTAATAAATAAAAACATTTTATTTAATGCTTAATCAATGAAATAGAATGTTTCATCTAGAAATTTATAAATAGATTAATTAAGGAATCCTAATGTAAAGATAAGAGAATTATTGTTGAAAAAATAATTAGATATGATTTTATCTTATATTTTTGAAGTGCTTTCTTATATTTAGTTATAATGTAATTACAAATAAAGATTCATTTTATCTTTTGATATTATGATTGATAAAATAATCAATAGAATTGGTCTATTTAATCTTGAAAATATTATAAATTTGATGTTTAGTATTTGAAATAAGATTTAGAAACAGTATGTTAAAAACATAAAAAAATCATAAAGAACTATTGTTCATAATTTATTTATTTTAATAAATCAATTTCTTTTACTGATGAATTGGGCGGTGGTTGATAATTTCTCACTGATGTGTTCTTAGAGTCTATCAACAATTTCATTTTAAGCAGCTCTAAAATAAAGAATATAATTGAATAATACCTTTCAGCAGTTTAAGTTTCATAGATTTCTGATTAGACTGCATACCATGCTTATTATCCAGCAAGTCTTTCTTCACT